GAGTTGATTTTATCGAATGGTAAATATGCAGACGTAAAAACTCCGCAACCCTAAACTAGAATGTTTTAACTGTTTCCCTGTACTTAAGCTGAAATCAATTACGTCTGTACAGTTAAATTATGTTTAAGTAGATAGTAGGGAAATTTCTACATCCCCCCCACACAACAGGATGCCCCCCTTCCCCCTAATATCCGTATATTAAATGGTCAGCCCCTTAATGATACAATTCATTACTGTTGTTTTACGTAATACTATATTCTTTCTATCGTATAGAAACACATATCACATGCAAGCCCTATCGTGACCAATAAGGGATACTGCTACATCGCGAGAAAGCGAGAAAGCCATAAAGAGAGAAAGTGATAAAGCGATAGAGCGAGAGAAAGAGAAAAAGAGAAAGCGATAGATCGAGAAAAAGAGAAAGCGATAGAGCGAGAAAGGGAGAAAGCGAGAAAGTGATAAAGCGATAGAGCGAGAAAAAGAGAAAGCGATAGAGCGAGAAAGGGAGAAAAAGAGAAAGCGATAGAGCGGGAAAGCGATGTCCCCTCTCGGCCACCATATCTTTCAGTTCTTTAGAGTCATGATCATGCAATGTAGAAATGGTTTTATCGCTTTCAGTTAGAGACGCATAATCAAATGAGCCCAAATGTTTCTGTATAAGCGCACGTACACGTATCCAGGGACTTTATGATTCTCTATGGAACGTAATAATTAGTTTGAGGATGAGACAACCTAGGAGGGAGCAATTCGAAGCTGAATCTCGGTCGACTAATTGACTTTGAGCAAAGATCATTAGAACATGCTTTTTCATAGCTGAGTGCAGGATTGTCTGTGTCAAACCCCACATCACAGACAAGTATGAATTCGGATCAGGATGTCACCTGCTACACAAGATTTGATTTCCCATTGGATTTGGGGGAATAGTGACTCATTAATAAATACAGAATATTATATTGTTTAGTTTACCGCTGTGCAATCCTTGTTCTCCATGGCTACAATAATGAATTTACTGGAAACCAATAACGTAGGAAACACATTTAAATGCCCGTGTACAATTTGAATGCTTTTCGTTTTTAGATTTACAGGAAGTTCAGTTACCTTGAGAAATGCCAAGAGGAGGAGGAAGAAATACTTTTACCCGGATGTACACGCCGCCAGCGAGTCATCCTGTATAGAAAAACATTAGAGCGTTTTGCAGGGTTATTGTGGACTCACAGTCAACAAACAATATCAGCTTTTCACCAATCTGATACTTCACGATATAGATGAAATACCGTTCGAAGCTGTGGTAAACCACTCACCCGAGCTCTGTAAATTTGGAGACCTGACAACTTCCAACCTCTAAACTAGAATGTTTTAACTGTCCCCATTGCGCTTACGCTTTTGTAGGATACCACCCTTTATTGCACTCCTCGCATGAAGTGCGTCACTGCCTCGACATATTCATACCCAAAATAACAATGACTATAACGTTCAGGACCCCGTTATTCCAAGCGATCTCTGTATTCTTTTTACAAATCCATACCAGGTGCATTTGAGAGTACACTGGATTGCCACCAAGATATTTGGCTATGATGGTTTTATTATCATATATTTATTTGGGCATGGGATAGGAGGCACTGGAGGCTCAGTGATCTTTTCTCCGGAATTCGCTGTGCCGAGCTGCGTCCCTTAGTCTACACTGTACACAACCCACATTGAACCGAATCTCATGTATACTTAAATCATGTTGAAACTGGTGGCAAACTCACTCATTTATTCGACAATACTGTTTTTATATTGAACACAATGGAATAGATTGAGAGTTGACCAAAATAAATACTAACAAAGATAACCTTCTTATTACCGTAATTGAATGGTTTAAGCGATCCAAGAAACAGTCCTTCAACGATTATGATTATCAACAGACACCATTCAGGTCGAGCGGCTGTAGCCCGACACGCGAACATGTTGTATCTACAAGCTCGACAGGCGGTGAAGAGCAACGTCAACGAGCAGCGATTCCCACACGTTGTATCCTAGAATGCTTTTCCCCCGATGCCGGGACAGGGGAAGTATTAGATTACCCCAGACAATTATTGGTGCAGACGACAGAAGCCAGGTTCCGGCTTTTGTCTTAAAGGTAGAGTGCGCGCATGAGTGGGTGACACAAAAACAACCCCCATGTAACCACGCAACTTCAAGATGTTGATGAACCCCTTTAGGAAACACAAAGTCTTTCCGTTTCAGAGAAGGAAGAAAATAAAATGTTCTGAAGGCAACATATTTTGAGGATTATTGAAAGATCAGATACTGATCCTTTGCCCTTTTAAACTCAGCTGCTTGGATTCATCAAGGAGAATGAATCAGTTGAGAAATTACGGGAAGATACCAAGAGAAAAGCTGTCAAGGGTACTAGAATCAGTCATAAGAAAGTCACAAGGGCACGAGTACACGATGAAGTGACCGCAGAGTTCACCTACATCAAGAACCACCCTCAGCATCCCCCTTACACCATTGTCTAAGGCAGGTTTTCCCCTCTTTCCTTCTAAGATAAGGAGTTGTTTTCCTCACCTGTCCACGACGTGGACTAACTATTCCACCCAGAAAACGGCTTGCAAGAGCTTCTAACATCAATCTCACCATCTAACTGCGGAATGACTCCCAAATCAACCAGAGTCTAGATGTGAGGATCTTCACTTTTACAGGAACCGGGATCAACGGGTGTCCACCAGATACCCAGTTTACGCAACCATCTGACGCCCTTGGTGACAGAGACATCAGCCCTGGAACTATGAGACCATTTCCTACACGGTTCACATCTCACAAGATCAGATGTCACCTGGTTTTACTGACAGGAGACCTGCAATATTTTTGTAAAAAACACAAGCAGCTGGAAGACCTTGTTGAGGTCCAGTTTCAAAATGTCGAGGAAAATAACTGTCAACTTGATTCACCAGAGCGTCACCAAATATTTATCTTTCCATTCAAGAGCACAATGATGAAAGGGAGGCTATATGTTATTCATCAGAGACATTATAAGGGGAAAATCTCGCTTAACTTTCAATATTGATAGAAAAACTGAATATAACTTAAAGAATGCGTACTTATCAATTATGCGATATGAATGTAACATATATCCCCCAAACGTCGAAAAGAATAGGTAGCGTCTTCAATAAATGTCAAAACTACGTACATGCTCCTTTTTACTGATGAAATGTCACAAAATTGTTTATTGTGTTTAATAATATATAATATAATATAATAATTATATGACATTTGTATGCTTTTCTTTGGACACTGAAAAGCAGATTTCATGTCATAGAATTTGTCACAGTCTTCTGGGGCAAGTTCATGGGCAAGTTTGTACCGTTTTCTCAAATCATCACAGTGTCATGATATGGGTTATCTCATATAGGAGGAGCACAGATCTTATTCATATCTAAGACAATTTAACACCTACCGTTATCGTGGAGTCCTCGCATTTTCCAGACTCTGCAAGCACCATGCGTCAGTTTTTCAGCTTGACAATGTCCGTCCCCACACAGCACAAGTCTGTACTGATTTCTTGAGAGCTCAGGGCATAAACACACTGCCGTGGCCCAATTGTGCATCTGTTGGATGAGACAGACAGACAGACGCCAACAAGGAACACGAAATCATTTACGCCAAGCTCTTCAGGACTAGTTTTCACCTTGCTTCCATGGGCGTGTTGCGCAGTCATTCAGGCTAATCGTGGCCACACACGGGACAATGCTTACACGGTTACGACCGCAGTGCTTGAGTGGCGTAACCGTTAACGTTTGGTAAACTCTGTAATCTTCAAGACACACACACGTCCCAAGTATCGCTATTAAAGCCCTGTAGATGTCGAAGAATGAATCAAGACAGCGTTCATCTGACGGGATGGCACAAATGATATCAAGACATAATGTACCTTATATATATATATCTACCTTTCATGTCTATAATTATATCAATTGTCATTATTAGATAGTTTGTACCCTGCCTTATGAGAGTGTTATGTACACTAAAAATTCTTGATCAAGACCGTGTGCATCTATATGGGTGCCACATGCAATATCAAGACAATATTCACCTGTATGGATGTCACATGCAATATCAAGACAATATTCACCTGTATGGATGTCACATGCAATATCAAGACAATATTCACCTGTATGGATGTCATATGCAATATCAAGACAGTATTCACCTGTATGGATGTCACATGCAATATCAAGACAATATTCGACTGTATGGGTGCCACATGCAATATCAAGACAATATTCACCTGTATGGATGTCACATGCAATATCAAGACAATATTCACCTGGATGGATGTCATATGCAATATCAAGACAATATTCACCTGTATGGATGTCATATGCGATATCAAGACAGTATTCACCAGTATGGACGTCACATACAATATCAAGAAAGTATTCACCTGGATGGATGTCACATGCGATATCAAGACAATATTCACCTGTATGGATGTCACATGCAATATCAAGACAGTATTCACCTGTATGGATGTCACATGCGATATCAAGACAGTATTCATCTGTATGGATGTCACATGTGATATCAGGACTGTTCATCTATATGGATGTCACATGCGATATCAGGACTGTTCATCTAACATCTGCATCACTTCGGGTTTAAAACGTCACGCTGAGACGCAGTGATTTAAATCATATATTGTTCAATGCGGTGTAAAACGTTACTCACTCACTCATAATCCTGAACATACATTTTGTACACCCTTGATCGTCATATTGAATACATTTTGAATACATTTCTAAGTTATAAATACTATTCATGCGTGCATGTCTTCAATAAACGAGCAGCTTTCTTTATAAGCTGCCAAATATGTTTACTTGGTGGTCAAATAGCATCTGAATGATTATAAAAATGCAAACATAGGCTACATTTAAGTAACACGTACTTAAATATCGGCGGTTTTAATGTGCTCCTGTACAAACACACCCCAATATATTCTGTTTTTCCAGATCTCGCTGAAAGTCATATCAATATCACCGGGAACACGGGTGCGTGGATTGCGACAGAGACACTCCCGTGTGTGTGTGGAGGGGGCAGAGTCGATACCACTCCATAAAATTACCAAACTGAAATTGCTTATGATGTGTACAAACCAAAATATTGACTTCGGTTCTCGTCAGTGGCAACCGGTTGTCTGGCATGTGTTTTTGAATGACACCGACATAGTGAAAGAGCTACGATACTAACTTAAGGATCTTGCCTGTCACAACTGTAGCTATTCAGGTGAGTTGTTTTGTTTTATGTTGACGATTGACCTAAAGACACAAACTTATAAGTGACCTATAGATGGCCTAGAAGATAAGCACTTATTAAGATGCTGCAATCTGTATTATAAAATCTTGTTGTACGACTGTGTATTTCCAGCGATTTGTTTTGGACAGGGTTTTATTGTACCGTGTTTAATACAGAGAGCTGGGCTACTTGACATAACCCCAGTGAAGATCACAGAACAAATACGACACTTAGGCAAATGAAAAATATACATGTAGTCATCTTTTGTTCAGCTTTCGTTAGATCCGGATTAATTAATCATTGAATAGCTTTGAATATTGACTATATACATGTATGTAGACGATCCCAGTGTAACATCCTTTAGTATATACATGTATGTAGACGATCCCAGTGTAACATCCTTTAGTATATACATGTATGTAGACGATCCCGGTGTAACATCTTTTAGTATATACATGTATGTAGACGATCCAAGCGTAAGATCGTTTAGTATACACCTGTATGTAGTCGACCCCAGTGTTACATCTGTTAGTATATACATGTATATAGACGATCCAAGTGTAACGTCCTTTAGTGTATACATGTATGTAGACGATCCCGGTGTAACATCCTTTAGTATATACATGTATATAGACGATCCAAGTGTAACGTCATTTAGTATATACATGTATGTAGGCGATCCCAGTGTAACGTCCTTTAGTATATACATGTATGTAGATGATCCAAGTGTAACGTCATTTAGTATATACATGTATGTAGACGATCCCGGTGTAACATCTTTTAGTATATACATGTATATAGACGATCCCAGTGTAACGTCCTTTAGTATATACATGTACATAGACGATCCCAGTGTAACGTCATTTAGTATATACATGTATGTAGACGATCCCGGTGTAATATCTTTTAGTATATACATGTATATAGACGATCCGAGTGTAACTTCATTTAGTATATACATGTACATAGACGATCCCAGTGTAACGTCATTAAGTATATACATGTATGTAGACGATCCCGTGTAACATCCGTTAGTATATACATGTATATAGACGATCCCAGTGTAACGTCCTTTAGTATATACATGTACATAGACGATCACAGTGTAACGTCATTTAGTATATACATGTATGAAGACGATCCCGGTGTAACATCTTTTAGTATATACATGTATATAGACGATCCGAGTGTAACGTCATTTAGTATATACATGTACATAGACGATCCAAGCGTAAGATCTTTTAGTATACACATGTATGTAGACGACCCCAGTGTTACATCCGTTAGTATATACATGTATATAGACGATCCAAGTGTAACGTCCTTTAGTGTATACATGTATGTAGACGATCCCGGTGTAACATCCTTTAGTATATACATGTATATAGACGATCCAAGTGTAACGTCCTTTAGTATATACATGTATGTAGGCGATCCCAGTGTAACGTCATTTAGTATATACATGTATGTGGACGATCCCAGTGTAACATCTTTTAGTATATGCATGTATATAGACGATCCAAGTGTAACGTCCTTTAGTATATACATGTATGTAGATGATCCAAGTGTAACGTCATTTAGTATATACATGTATGTGGACGATCCCGGTGTAACATCTTTTAGTATATACATGTATATAGACGATCCCAGTGTAACGTCCTTTAGTATATACATGTACATAGACGATCCCAGTGTAACGTCATTTAGTATATACATGTATGTAGACGATCCCGGTGTAACATCTTTTAGTATATACATGTATATAGACGATCCCAGTGTAACGTCCTTTAGTATATACATGTACATAGACGATCACAGTGTAACGTCATTTAGTATATACATGTATGAAGACGATCCCGGTGTAACATCTTTTAGTATATACATGTATATAGACGATCCGAGTGTAACGTCATTTAGTATATACATGTACATAGACGATCCAAGCGTAAGATCTTTTAGTATACACATGTATGTAGACGACCCCAGTGTTACATCCGTTAGTATATACATGTATATAGACGATCCAAGTGTAACGTCCTTTAGTGTATACATGTATGTAGACGATCCCGGTGTAACATCCTTTAGTATATACATGTATATAGACGATCCAAGTGTAACGTCCTTTAGTATATACATGTATGTAGGCGATCCCAGTGTAACGTCATTTAGTATATACATGTATGTGGACGATCCCAGTGTAACATCTTTTAGTATATACATGTATATAGACGATCCAAGTGTAACGTCCTTTAGTATATACATGTATGTAGATGATCCAAGTGTAACGTCATTTAGTATATACATGTATATAGACGATCCCGGTGTAACATCTTTTAGTATATACATGTATGTAGATGATCCAAGTGTAACATCTTTTAGTATATACATGTATGTAGATGATCCAAGTGTAACATCCTTTAGTATATACATGTATGTAGATGATCCAAGTGTAACGTCATTTAGTATATACATGTATGTGGACGATCCCGGTGTAACATCTTTTAGTATATACATGTATATAGACGATCCCAGTGTAACGTCCTATAGTATATACATGTACATAGACGATCCCAGTGTAACGTCATTTAGTATATACATGTATGTAGACGATCCCGGTGTAACATCTTTTAGTATATACATGTATATAGACGATCCGAGTGTAACGTCATTTAGTATATACATGTACATAGACGATCCCAGTGTAACGTCATTTAGTATTTACATGTATGTAGACGATCCCAGTGTAACATCCGTTAGTATATACATTTATATAGACGATCCCAGTGTAACGTCTTTTAGTATATACATGTATGTAGGCGATCCCAGTGTAACGTCTTTTAGTATATACATGTATGTAGACGATCCCAGTGTAACGTCATTTAGTATATACATGTATATAGACGATCCCGGTGTAACATCCGTTATTATATACATGTATATAGACGATCCCAGTGTAACATCCTTTAGTATATACATGTATGTAGACGATCCCAGTGTAACGTCCTTTAGTATATACATGTATGTAGACGATCCCAGTGTAACGTCATTTAGTATATACATGTATGTAGACGATCCCAGTGTAACGTCATTTAGTATATACATGTATGTAGACGATCCCAGTGTAACATCCGTTAGTATATACATTTATATAGACGATCCCAGTGTAACGTCCTTTAGTATATACATGTATGTAGACGATCCCGGTGTAGCGTCCGTTACTACATACATGTATGTAGACGATCCCAGTGTAACGTCCGTTAGTATATACATGTATATAGACGATCCGAGTGTAACGTCCGTTAGTATATACATGTATGTAGACGATCCCAGTGTAACGTCCGTTAGTATATACATGTATGTAGACGAACCCCGTGTAACGTCCTTTAGTATATACATGTATGTAGACGATCCCAGTGTAACGTCCGTTAGTATATACATGTATGTAGACGATCCCAGTGTAACGTCCTTTAGTATATACATGTATATAGACGATCCCAGTGTAACGTCATTTAGCATAGACATGGAGGGCTGGGATTTTATCGAAAATATTACATTACATCCCAAAAAGGAAATTGCCTGCCACCAAAATTACATTGTTGCAAGATGTTTTTAAATAGAAATCAGGCCTATAGTTGATATATGACTGTTGCACGTCATATCATGTCTTGATCAGTATTTTCTATTTGAAATGTATTCGCCCCAGAATGTCTCACGAATGCTGGAGGTACAACTCGTCCGATGTTGCCATCAGGACTGTCTTCTCGTGCTCCTGTGGTTGCTGTGGTGACGCTTACCAAAGATTCTGCTGTGATACGTCGTTCTGTGATCCAAACGGAAGATGCAGGTACGTTCTGTAAATCCAAAAAGGTGTGGTTATGTTCTGCGACCCGCATGGAAGATAGAATTTATTACAGTCTGTGATCCAAATGGAAGCTGTTCTGTAAAGTTATGTTATATCCTTGGATGTATATGTATAATGCCGATGTACCGTTGATAAGTTCACTCTCTCCTTTTGGTGATATATAGTTACACTCTATTGGAAGCTCTAGTAACGTTCTGTTATCCCCACAGGGTACTGTTACCTTCTGTTATATCTATAGATTTACACTCTCATCAAAATCAGATCCTAGTTTTCGCTACCGCCATTAGAAAACACATTCCGACTGTCACTTTCATGATCTGGTAAGCGACGCTCTGATTGGTTCGATGAAAGGTCCTTCTGACGTGACCAGTAATGGGATGTCCTCAGATCTTTGTTTAGCGACAACGAGAACTAAGATCTGATTTTAATGAGATTGATAGATTTAGATCAGTACATGGCTCAGGTAAGTTGTGATGTTTAACTTTTACTCACTTCCTCTATTGATGGCGTTGTTACGTTGTGGAAGCCGTTTTATGTTATGTGATCCAAATAGACATTGTAGTTGCGTCATGATGCGGTCACTCTAGCTTCATGATACAGACGATATTCCGAGTTTCGTCCCTGTGGCGCGTTAGAAACCTATTATTGTGGGTCGAATCCTAGATTGTTTCTAGGTTTGTTAGCACCAAACCCGTGCTCTTGGGTTTCACTAAGATGGCAAACGTCTGAGACCGGGCTTTCCTCCCACACAAGCTGACACGCGTGATATAATTGAAATACTGTGCAATGCGGCTTTTAACACAACTCACTTGACCTATTTTTCACAAATCTTTGTATATCTGTTAATCTCAAGGTGCTCCTGCTTATACAAACAGCCACAGTATTAAAGTCAATAACAAAGTGGACAGAAAGGAGGTAGACTTCGGTTGGTCACTATAACAAAGAACAGGATATAAACTGTCGGAAAAATTAAGACCAGTTGTTCTTGAGTAATGAGCCATTTCTTATAGCTAAAGTCTAATACATGTCCAGTAAGTGCATGAATAACGTATTTTTTCTATCTTCTTTCAGCGGTATTTACCTAAGCCATGCCAGTGTAATAGCTCTTATATGCGTGTCCTCGCTGATATTGATTGGGGCAGGGGTGGCACTTGTCTTGGTGTGTCGGATGAAGAAACGACCTTTCCTGTGGAAATCCGGAAGAACCCCTAAGGAAAAGATAAAAGAAATATTGAAAAGCGATAAAGGTAAAGAATGTTTCGGATGACATTTTATAGAAATACACTTTGTCACACTTTAAAATTGTATGCAATGATATTCGTCAAGTGCGCCTTTTTTCGGATCTTGTTTCAATTGAGATCTGAAAAAAATAGTTAATGTGCTTTTTGTTTGATAATGTCAACAATATTATTACATTTCAAGGGATAGATTCTTAAGGGATATTTTTTATCGTTATCAAAGGACTCCTTTATTTATTTTATGATTTATACAGATGACATTTTCGAAAAGGGAAATAATAACAATAACTGTCTGATATATATGTGAAATTGGCATTTCAAAGGGTTGTAGTGTAAGAACAGTTGACTGTGCAGCTGACTTCCTATGAATACAAATATATAAAAGAAATACTTGAACTTAAATTATGAATCTAAACTCTGTATTTTAGAAAGCTTCACTTGATTCGCAGCATTACATGTCGTGATCACATGACAACATATATGCACTGCGTATGCCATATTTTCTGCCAACTCGCTGTCCCGTTACAACATATGTGCACTTAGTGAGCCCTATTACCTGCCAACTCGCTGTCCCGTTACAACATATGTACACTTAATGTGCCCTATAACCTGCCAACTCGCTGTCCCGTTACAACATATGTGCACTTAGTGAGCCCTATTACCTGCCAACTCGCTGTCCCGTTACAACATATGTAAACTGAGTGTGCCCTATAACCTACCAACTCGCTGTCCCGTTACAACATATGTACACTTAATGAGCCCTATTACCTGCCAACTCGCTGTCCCGTTACAACATATGTACACTTCGTATGCCATATTACCTGCCAACTCGCTGTCCCGTTACAACATATGTGCACTTCGTATGCCATATTACCTGCCAACTCGCTGTCCCGTTACAACATATGTGCACTTCGTATGCCATATTACCTGCCAACTCGCTGTCCCGTTACAACATATGTACACTTAGTGTGCCCTATAACCTGCCAACTCGCTGTCCCGTTACAACATATGTATACTGAGTGTGCCCTATAACCTACCAACTCGCTGTCCCGTTACAGCATATGTACACTTAATGAGCCCTATTACCTGCCAACTCGCTGTCCCGTTACAACCTATGTGCACTTCGTATGCCATATTACCTGCCAACTCGCTGTCCCGTTACAACATATGTGCACTTCGTATGCCATATTACCTGCCAACTCGCTGTCCCGTTACAGCATATGTACACTTAGTGAGCCCTATAACCTGCCAACTCGCTGTCCCGTTACAACATATGTGCACTTCGTATGCCATATTACCTGCCAACTCGCTGTCCCGTTACAACATATGTGCACTTCGTATGCCATATTACCTGCCAACTCGCTGTCCCGTTACAACATATGTGCACTCCGTATGCCATATTACCTGCCAACTCGCTGTCCCGTTACAACATATGTTCACTTCGTATGCCATATTACCTGCCAACTCGCTGTCCCGTTACAACATATGTGCACTCCGTATGCCATATTACCTGCCAACTCGCTGTCCCGTTACAACATATGTGCACTTCGTATGCCCTATTACCTGCCAACTCGCTGTCCCGTTACAACATATGTGCACTTCGTATGTCATATTACCTGCCAACTCGCTGTCCCGTTACAACATATGTGCACTTCGTATGCCATATTACCTGCCACCTCGCTGTCCCGTTACAACATATGTGCACTTCGTATGCCATATTACCTGCCAACTCGCTGTCCCGTTACAACATATGTGCAGTTTGTATGCCATATTACATGCCATCTGACTATCCCGTTACAATATATGTTCACTTTGTATGCCGTATTACTTACCAACTTGTTATCCCTTTATAACATATAAATGTTTCAAGAAAAGTCTAAGATGACGATGAGGTTAAAAGTAGGTAATTAAAATATCTATAGTCACTGTGCTAACGTGCAGTGAAGGTGATTAGACAATCTACTTCAGTAAATTAGTCACAATAATATAGAGATTTGTTGCATAAATGGCATGATTGACAATATAATATCTACTGTTTATGTACCAGTAGAAGTCATATGATTCAATAAAGAGTTTGACAATTTGAAGTTATAACATGAATATTACCTTCCCTTTCTTCGTCTGCCTGGTAAAATGTCTCTTTTTGTGATATGTGTTGTACAGACTACTCTAGATAGGCTGGGGCAACGGTGGTTAAAGCTTTCGCTCGTCAGTCACGCCGAATACCCGGGTTTGACTCCCTACATGGGTACAATGTGTGAATCCCATTTCTGGTGTCCCCCGCTGTGATATTGCAGGAATATTGTTGAAAGCGGTGTAAAACCATACTCACGTAATATATATGCTACTTATCGCTGTATGTGTGCATATGTTATACAGACTACTCTGGAGAAGATGGCAGCAGTACCTCAGACCATCCGTATTACATCTACCCAGATTTCCCCCTGCCCCAAGACTTACAGATGCAGAAACATATGCAGCTGCAGACACAGACACAATCGCAGACACAGCAAGAGCAGCTGCAGACTCAGATACGGTCACAGACACGGAAAGAGCAGCTGTCCTATTGCTGACAGACGATGATTCATGCCTGAAAACCCGCCACGAGCATGTAGATAGACACGACGAGCAATGGCGTAGTCCTCAATGAGCCATGTCACCGGTTGATATATGACGTCACTTTTGTAAGAACTTTGTTGCGGCTGAGAAGATTATGCGTTACGTGACAAGAACAACACAAACACAAATTATCCTACACAGGGAACTTACGCCCTAATAATTGTAATACAATGGTTCAATGTAGTTCTTCTACAAACCATCAGTAGACGGGTGTGTCTTGATTCACGCCCAGTCAACTCCAGCTACATCGGGGTAAAGATCGTGTCTGCGCCAGGTAATCCAGCGGTTCAGACCGCCGGGCCAGCGGGGGTGGGGGGGGGGGGGGGGGGGGGGGGGGGGGGGGGGGGGGGGGGGGGGGGGGGGTGTCAAGTCTCACGTGGTAACCACCACACCGGCACTCACGCCAAGCATGGGGCACTTATGATCTGTGCTGCCTGGCATTCCCAATTGGGAGAGATGAACGACGCGAGAACTATATATATATATATAATATATATAACGCCAACGCAAGGGAACAAGCAGCGTCGACCATCCGCAGAAACATATTTCACTTAATGTTCTCGACACTACAAACACAATTATATTGAATGTGCTTATTTATTCTGTTGGATCTGTGTATATATGTAGGAAATAGAAGTGTGCACCATTTCAGCTACACCTGGATGTCTTCCGTTAAAGAACATTATTACCCTTAATTTATTGACATTTCAACTGGCATTCTATTCTGGTAACCTCACTTTGTTGAGGTGTATGTTGAACAGAAACATTTATGGAGTGATATGATTTTTATAGTTGGTAGCCCCACTGGGGTTGACCTGTGATATTTCGGAGAGCGCTGTCATGACAAATGTCTATCCTATAACTTCAGTGGCACAATCACATGTTACAGTATCTATCTTATAATCTTAGGACAACCTAGCATAATGCATGAAATGCAACAGTATCCTGAAGCTACTGTTCCCATTGATTCACAAGGAATCGGTGTAATGTATATGTAACTGTCACGTAGATATACAGTCGTCGCCCAGAAGGTGAGGTCTCCACACTAACAATGTCCGAACTTCCGGGTAGTACTATATATGCAATACACGTAGCTAGCCTGATATATGTCAAAGCTAGTCATTGTCGTCTATCACAGACATGTGCACAGTTATATTGTGTGTCACGTAAGAATGTGCTAGATAACAAAGCATGAAGCGTTTGGACTTGTTTCAAGAGTTAGATTATGTCCGCATGATACGTGTGTGGTTCAGAAAGAACAGTGGAGACGCAACACTAGGCAGGGAGTCAATCCCGGGATAAACCTATTCTCACCAATTCCGAGTACTTATATGCATACAAAACAATCTCGTGAACCGGACGATGTGAAAGTTAACACATTGTTTATGTTAAAGAGGAACCCATAAACGAATAATCTTCAGAAATACTTTTCATTTGGCTATATCTAGACTTTTCTTATCCCTTTCCGGTATTGCGAATGCTGTCGAAGCATTTGCCGATAAATGAGCTAAAAGAGAAGAGGAGTGTTGAATGTCTTTGGGTTAAGTCAGTGATGTAGTCATTGATAGAATGCACAAACTGAAAAAGGAGACACAGAATTGGAATAAACCCGTTCTGTCCAAGTCAGCTGCCATCCAACGTATGGCTGCCCTGCATGAAAAGTTTGCAGTTGCTCTCACTTACAAGGCCTCAGATAACATAACCATTATATGTAAGCATCAATTGCAAGCATCAATTGTTTGATCAAAGAACTTGGTATAAGTGACATATCAAATAATGCCACATATAAGGCCAGTATGTTAACTGAGGATGAAATCTGCCAAAACCATGCATCAGTTCTATCAACTTTGACTTGACTCTAAAACCTGTCCATTCCACTGGTACAAAGAGAGATACATTGCCGGGTCCAGCAAATGTTACACCAAATCCCTGTCTCGATTATTAACCATAATTCTTAATACAATCAAGGAAGGACTTCCTCTATATTCACAGAAAGTATTGTGACAAGTGGAATTAATACCACTATCCGCAAAAACTCAAAGGATTTGCTTGACTTTTTACAATCTCAGAAAGGAACCAGGTTCAATTCTGTCAAAACACTTGAATTTTCAACTTTGTCCACCACTATCTCACATGACAAATTTAAGAAAAAACTTCATTCCTTGATCCATGGGGCTTTTGTTACAAAACTAAAGATACAGTTCGATATCTATCCAGAGGTTCCGGTCAATTTGTCAAAAATGAAAGCAAATGCGATCTGAAGTGTACTGAGAAAATATGTGAAATACTGGACTTCTTCATTGATAACATCTTTGTAAAATTTGAGGGGAAAGACATTTAGGCAAGAAGTAGGCATCCCCAATGGGCATCAATTGTGCTCCCCTTCTTGCGGATCTGTTTCTTTATGCATATGAGTAAGAATTTCTGTTCGGATTAGCAAATTCAAAACAAGGTTATTTGGCCAAGAAGTTTAACTTAAGCTTCAGGTATGTCGATGATCTGATATCGTTCAATAACCATCACACATCCAATTCCCTTCCACTAATTTACCCTCCTGAACTAGAAATAAAGAAGATCAGTGAGACTGCTTCATCTGTTTCATATTCAGATCTATGCATAAAGATTCAGAATAACAAAACACTCTCCACAAAACTGTATGACAAGAGGGATGACTTCAACTTTTCAATAGTCAAATTTCCCTTTATGATGAGCAATATTCCTGCAGCTGCAGCCCTTATCGTCCATATTTCACATTTTTAGGTACAAACGAGCATGCATTTCTACCAAGATTTCACAAAGCGTCATATGTCTCTTGCTCAAAGTTGTTTCATCAAGGTTACAACATTCAAGGCCTTAGTTATGAGGTCAAAATGTTTTATGGAAGACATGTAGAGGACATTTCCAAATTTGCCGCATCCGTGACAAGAATAATGTCCAATGCAATTCCTTATTTTGACCTGTACCATATGTTCCCGTGTTTTTGCTGGTGAAGAATTATTGACTAATGTCTTGCTCCTCTCAGGCAGGATACGCTTACCTGGTACCACCACTATTTCATAGTGATTCATAAACACATGCTCATGATATGGTCGTAATCGTACAATCGACTCCGATTCGGCAGAGATTACTAATGATTATTAAAAGGGTGTCAAGGCTTTTATTTACAGTAATCCGGAAGCAGGATTTACGATGTCCGGACTATATCTTCGATTTTCTGTGTTGTCCTTACTACCATTCAAATGGAGTTAGTCACTATACATTCCAGACATTCAACGATGGATTGCTGTAGACATAAAAAAGCTAAAGAACATTCTAACAACAAACAGCCATCAATGGCTATCTTTTGAAAAAATATCGATATGATACCTAATCTTATAATGAAAGTATCATTTGTCTCTTGTGTGTCACTAACTTCGGGTTTGAAATTTGCATAAGAAAAGATACATGATGCACTATGAAATAATATCTCGACGTCGAAGCGTTCAGCCCAGAACAGACATTGTGCTGTGTAACAGAGCGAATTAACACACTCAACACGTTTAGGACTTTAGGTTTGTCGAAGCACTTAACGGTTTATACATACACTTCTAAGAGCCAGACACATTCAAAAAGCTATTTGCATTCGGTATAATTGGTTATGCTAACTAATGACATTTGTAGCAACAAAATAGTCCCAGTTGAATAGCAAGTGATGTCGTGTCAAATAACAACTGAAGGAATATACACAATATCATTTCTAGTAACAATGGTTCTCCAACTAATGATATGCATACACAATCGGGATCAGTTCATGGAAAGATGATTATTTAACCTACATTGCTCAACTACTGAATTCATAGTCCAATCCATAAGAAACTAATCTCGCCTTTGTGCACTCTAAATGTATAATGGGTTCCCTCTGAGGGTTGAATATTATACTCGTGTGAATATTGGCTGTCACTCTTGATGTAATATGCATGTAGTTTGCGAGATATACACTGCACTATACTGCAAGAAAAAGCCTCAAGTACATGCGCTTACCACTGCCTCCGTGGTCTAGTGGTGGAGTGTCTGCCCGGAGTGCGGAGGGTCATACCAAAAGACGGTAAACGATGGTACTTGTTGTCACCCTGCCTGCCGATCCAGCAAGGACTAGTCGGCTCCAAATCAGTATACTGTGCCTGAGTAGGGTATTAATTTTAAACTGCTTCAAGATATCTCAATAAGCTCTCTCTATATATAAGTGCAATGATCTTAAATCCCATTTCAATGACACCATGTGTTCGCGAAAAGGATAAGCAAAGTCTTCAATAACAAAAGGACTACTAATATCCTTTAGTACTCGATAGAAACGCCCAGAACTAAGCACAGACAATCGGAATAATATTTTCGTTAGTGCGGGTCAACGGTCGAGTTATAATCGTAGAAAACGTTCAGGCCTTTTCGTCCTTGTTACACGTCCAACCTGCCTTCAGCGACAATGTGCTAGGGCCAGGGTGTGGCGTACTCTGTGTGTCCGACCTGACAGAGAGTGGCCGATACGTTAATCTCTATCACGTCAACATAGTTTTAACCTCACGTTTGTCAACATTGTCCCCCTCGAACTCCTAGTGACGGGTCGGTTGTGCGTGTTGTGTGGTCAGTTTCTATGCTAAACAATGCTATGTAAACCAACATTTGGCAACTTTTGTATAGTGTCATTACTACATTGTATTTGGTCCTATGAGAACACTATGGGCATACATGCATCCTTCTTCGCCCTTCTTGCGACATTTGCTGCAATAACAGGTCAGTAGACTAAGTCTTTGTGCCCTGATACCATCACAATACCATATAGATATAAGATGTTTACAGTGCTGTGTATAGATTTTGGAAACTAAATAAAAAGTTATTTTGAGGATGAATATATTTTTGAGCGATTGAAAAATTTATCACTTTAGGAATTCCCAGAAAGGTAAATATTTATATGAGTCACACGAGTACACAAGAACCAACTCAATTCTTCTGTACAAAGTTGTTTGAAAGCTCATTTTATACATCATCAGAATTAATGTAACAGTTCAATTTCATTTGGTCAAGCGAATACAATGAACTAGTGTGCAAATAATTTATTAAATGGTGCTACAATTGCATGTTAGCATTGCATGAATACAGACGTTTAGAAAAATGGCTTTGGAATAATATTCACATTTTCTTGTAGGCGTCGATTGTCAGTATGGCAGCGCTGCACTTAACGCGGCGGCCGGAGCGGCCTTGCATACTGCTGGTGCAGCCACTGGCATTGTCAGGTATATGGTCGTCCGAAAACCAGCACTACCGTACAGTACAGAATTTGTATTCTCTCAAATATACACATGGTGACAGAGAGAACATACATCATAACATCATATATGCACACATGATATATACAAGTCAAAACAAACACAGACACTTTTTAGTTTAGTTTGAGAGTTTACCTAGCAGGGGTACATAATCATTTTGCATTATATATTTTAACTGTGGGATTGGTACCCAAAAAATGGAATTCATTACATATTGTTAAATTACACAGATTACATAGTCTATTTTCTTTTTTTATGTCATACCATCGTCCGGTCTCAATAGGGAGTCTGTGGTTTGTTGTTCTTATTTAAGTGAGTGAATGGTATCCTCCAAATTAAAAGTGCCTGTCTAGTATCCACTTGAATGTAAGGGGACTTACAAGTATGCCCATCAACGTAAGGGGATTCACTAGTATGCCCTTAAACGTAAGGGTTTTCACTCGTTTGCTTTTGAATGTAAGGGGATTCACAAGTATGCCCATCAACGTAAGGAGATTCACTGGTATGCCCTTAATGTAAGGGGATTCACTCGTATGCCCTTGAATGTAAGGGGATGCACTCGTATGCCCTTAAATGTGAGGGGATTCACTCGTATGCCCTTGAATGTAAGGGGATTCACTCGTATGCCCTTAAATGTGAGGGGATTCACTCGTATGCCCTTGAATGTAAGGGGATTCACTCGTATGCCCTTAAATGTGAGGGGATTCACTCGTATGCCCTTGAATGTAAGGGGATTCACTCGTATGCCCTTAAATGTGAGGGGATTCACTCGTATGCCCTTGAATGTAAGGGGATTCACTCGTATACTCGTGAATGTAGGTTGGTTCACTGGTATGCCCCTGAATGTAAGGAGGTTCACGAGTATGCCAAGGAATATAAGGAGCTTCACAAGTATGTGTCCTCTTGAATTCATTGCTATAGTCTTCGACGTGACGGGAATTGACTAATCTAATAATATGACAATACGGGTAGGCTACTCTTGTACCTTGGGAATGCACAAGCATATTCCTGCACGTAACGAGAGGCTACTAGCTGACAAGTATCCTCAGGGTTAGCCTTAGATGACTCGGACACCCCTGTCCCTCAACTGGTTGTAGAAATAAACCTGGCATCACGATCCCATACACGTGTTCAACGTTCAATGCTTACTTGCTCAATAAACTTTCCCCCTGTTATCATATTAAGTGACCACTTTAGAAAAAATGTTTGGCAATTATAAGTTTATTTTTATCGCGACCAACGGCCCTCTGTTTTTAGAAAAAGGGTAATTAAGCTGGAAATAGAATTAACAAAATAGAATTTAAAATAACCTTAATTTTACTTTGGTATTGTTCTCACAGTAAAGGGTTAAGCACAGTTATCATCGTCGTGATCGTCATCGCCGTCCTCATCGTTCTGGCTGTCATCGGCTGCATCATCTGCTGTGTAGTCAGTTGCTCCAAGGGAAAGAGGTCGGGAAGGGTTATCGCACCTGTGAACACCCAACCACAAGTGACAGTCGCGACAACCACTGGTAGGCCGTAACTTGTTTCTAATTTCTTTTGCCCAATGCTCATGGTCAAGCTCTTACACATAGGTTCACCACATCCACCTGTTCGACTGAGGTTTGTCCGCCATTCGTTCCAGGATCTGATGATCAATTAATCGAATTAAGATTCGCTCGATTATAACTGTTGATCTCGATTCAACTTGTTAGACAATTTTCATCTATATTATGCGTTGAATGGCGTTGAAGGCGGACCCAAACTCACTAGTATGTTTAGATCATGTATTGAGAGCATACAGGTCACAGTATAACATAAAAACACTTCTGGTTTTCAGTCCCTCCAGGAAACACTGGAATGGCACCGGTTCCACATCACACACACTAACAGTTACAACAGCATACACGGGACACAGTGGCGGTGTCAGTCCTCGCCTACAGCAGTAAACTGACTGTATCTAGTATTGACGTCATTGATAAGGAATAGGGGACACGGAACACCAACGTCAAAGACGCCACAATTCGCAATCCACAGAGTTGCGGTCCTTAGATATGTGCCAGAATTCTAAATCTCAGATTCGCCCTGAGGTAATTCTTGGTTTGCCAGCACAATACCCGTGCCCGTGGGTTTCTCCAAAGTGGTAAACGGCTAAGACCTTGGATAAATTCGAGCTTTCTCACCCCTTTGAGCTGGCACGCCTCGATATAACTGAAATATTGTTCAAAGCGTTTAAACCAAAACTTACTCAATCTTTTCAACTGAGATAATCTGATTTTATTTTTTTAAACTAAGATAACAATGGATTACAGGACCTTAAATTATGAGAGTCAGTTCAATGATATGACGTCGTGTTTATAAGGACCGCTTCGTAAGGCACCAAGACTGAACATGGCGTGGATAAGCCAAATCATCGTAACACAATATTTATAAGTTTGAGTGAAAATAACCTTCCAATAGGTGATTGTTAACATATTATTCTGTGATTTAATAAGTTGTTATTTTATCTTGTGAATAAACAACACGTGGTATTTGGAATATGTTCTCTGATATGTACATCTCTGTCAGTACAACGCATTCTGCCATCGCTGGAGAACATCTTAATTCCGTCTCCATAAACCAATCTTAGCACTAAGATGACAATAATTCCCAAAGTAACACAGTAACAGGCTGCCTAAGCACTATTCCAGCAGTATAACGGCGGGGGACACCAGAAATGGGCTTCACACATTGTATCGATGCTGGGAATCGAACCCGGGTCTTCGGTGTGACGAGCGAACGCTTTAACCACTAGGCTACCCGAGCGCCCCAAGAGACGTTAAAAGATTGTTAAAGCTGAATGTTTCACTTTTAATACAGTAAACTGACTCCGACCCAACTAGTCCTTGTTTTTAGCCCCTTATGCCGAGCGCCAAACAGGGTAACAACAAGTACCATCTTTTAACGTCTTTTGGTATGACGCGATCAGGGATCGGACCACTAGGCTACCCCACCGCCCCAACACACACAGTACATTGTAACTCGCACAGTATGTCCCATGTTTTACTCAAGGAAAGTCGTAGCGTGAATATCGTATTGTCTAATGGCTCTCCTAAAACGTGGTGTATATTATGCTGATACATTTCCTAAATAAATCGACGTAAAACACTATGTTTTAGATTATTTAGACACTTGTGCATGGCAGCACACTGAGTATTTCGAACATCCAGATCCTCCCTGTCCTGGCACACTGCATGCTCCGTTCATATTCATATGCAAATAACTTTCAGCAGGGCTTCTAGAAGTCTGTCGTTCAGGCCCAATTCCCTGTCGAGTTGGGTCTCTTATCCGTGACGGGTTCCAAAGATAGATTGGTCCTCAACCTGTCAGCACAATACCCGAGTTAGTGACGATCCTAGCCTAGATAATACCTTCATTTAAACATTAATTTTGTCTGTGAGCACAATGACCTTGTTCTTGGGAAACGTTCACCACCTGTGTCACACTCATTCACTAGAACTGAAATAGTGTTCGCTAACACCACTCATTCTCAGTATATATATTTCATCGTGACCAATTCAGTTATAATCGCGTACAGACCGTATACGATTACTATTCTCAACCACCTCATGTATGTCATATGGACATATCGTTTACTGGCACAAGATTCACATCAAACTACACTTGTGATGCTTTTTCAACATGTTCATTAAATATTGAATCTCCAGTCCATCAGTAACTCAGTATTCATTCCTAATAGAGATCGGTTTCAATACATTGTTTGTTTATCTGTCGACTAGTAACACACCAACAGTCTGACTGCATGTGTACCTAGAACATTGATCCACGTCAGATAAATGTACCTTAGCATGTACCGTAGTACCTTACCGTTGTTCATTTGTCGTGATCAATTCCACATGTTATTACTTAAAAACAAACTATGTTAATCAACTGATAAGGGAAGATTTCGCTGAAAAGTATTAATAGTATATACGCTATTAGTTGCAAAGTGAAGAGATTATTTGCTTTGAAATGCTTCCTTATTCATTGCAATAAACGGAATCTCTATCTCAAGCTGGTTTCACAAACCGTTTGTCCAGGCCAGACAGATAATAGACTCCATGCCGTGATGCTTATGCCGGCCACTGGAAGCCATTCGGTGATCATGGGTGAGGTATTTGATACCACCGCCACTAACACTATTACGTCTGAACGGACAGTCTACAATCAAGCACGGTCGGGATTAACAACTTGAGCTTATATCTGTATCAAGCGCGAGTCATTGCATGAAAGAACGCCATGTTGGATATAAAACATATAACAATTGTAATTAGTAGATATTGTTTGCAAACCTATAACATTTCATATCTTTCAATATATTTACACGCAGATAACACAGAGACACCAACACAATGTCTGTCACAGAAACCATGTTGGCATTCACTGTCTAATGTCACCAACACAATGTCTGTCACAGAAACCATGTTGGCATTCACTGTCTAATGTCACCAACACAATGTCTGTCACAGAAAACATGTTGGCATTCACTGTCTAATGTCACCAACACAATGTCTGTCACAGAAAACATGTTGGCATTCACTGTCTAATGTCCCCAACACAATATCTGTCAAAGAAAACATGTTGGCATTCACTGTCTAATGTCACCAACACAATGTCTGTCACAGAAAACATGTTGGCATTCACTGTCTAATGTCCCCAACACTATGTCTCCGTCACAGACAACGAAGAGAACCAAACACTATGCCTCTGCCAAAGACAACGAAGAGAACCAAACACTTTGTTTCTGCCACAGACAACGGAAAGAACCAGACACTGTGTCTCTACAATAGGCAACATGTTCTCATTCTATGCCACAAACAACAGAAAGAACCAAACACTATGTCTCTACAATAGGCAACATGAACTCATTCTATGCCACAGACAACAGAAAGAACCAAACACTATGTCTCTGCAATGGGCAACATGTTCTCATTCTAAGCCACAGACAACAGAAAGAACCAAACACTGTCTCTGCAATGGGCAACATGTTCTCATTCTATGCCACAGACAACAGAAAGAACCAAACACTATGTCTCTGCAATGGGCAACATGTTCTCATTCTATGCCACAGACAACGCAGAGAACCAAACACTGTCTCTGACACAGTCAGCCTATTGACATTCACTATATAATGTCTCCAATATTATGTCTTTGTCACAGACAAAAAGCAGAGAACCAAACAGTATGTCTCTGTAGGTTAACATGTTAGTAGATAACCTCCAAATCTTCCTTAGTTTCATATATCCCCAAACGCCTAGTGTCTTTTGAAACAAATGTACATTTGAAATTGAAATCATTTTGATATATAGATCTATATATGTAACTTTCCACAAATACCAAGACGAGTGGGTAAAAAGACCACTGTAAATTTATCCTTGTGCTCCAATTTTTGAGTCTGTCCTAATACTTGGAAGGGTAGTCAGTTAACTATTATTACAAAACAGGTACAACATGTGTAAATAAAAAATCAATTTCGGGATCTGAATTCGGGATCAGTGTGTAATTATTTTGTAAAGAAAATCAAATTTTGATGAAACGATTGTGATGAAAATATAAATTTAGTCATGCTATTATATTTTCTGTTGTATGCTGTAAACACCAGATGATGGACTGATTTGTTGATTGTAGTAATCATATTACCAGAACATATGTGTCATGTTACGGAGTACCATCCATGTTTGATCACAACACACGCAGAGGTCGTGTGAGGGCGTCAAGGACAGCGTAAAGGGCAACAACGTGATGACACAGGTTAATGTCATTTGCCTTTCAGAAAGGTTAAAGTCATCTCGATTTGTATTTAATTCCAGACATGGCTACCCAGAGCATCCCTCACACATACACATACACACGCGCGCGCGCACGCACGCACGCACGCACGGAACAAAGAGACCCACACTCATACAGACACAGACACACACACGCGCGCGCACACACGCACACGCACACGCACGCACGCATGCACGCGCACACACACACACACGCACGCACGCACGCACACAAAGCCTTTGAACAATGAACATTTAGCAGGAAGGGTGTGCGTGTGTGTACATTGTTTTTTTGCAATGCGTTTTAAACAATATCGGTGAAGGAACATCCCAAATATGCTTTAAATATTGCACCCATGTGGAGAATCGAACCTGGGTCCTGCGCGTGGCGAGCGAAGACTTTAACCATAAGGCTACCACACACAGGAAGGGAATGTACAGGCATATCTATTGACGTCTAAGTAACACAATGCAATGAAAGGTATGTCGACCAGGACATGTCCTCGATGTTGTGATCCTGGGCGCAAGTAATCAAGTAATCATTTAGAGACGTGGATATATATCTCCATCTACACTCGAACTAGATTAACTACTGTGTATAACTGACCTTGATTTCTGTCATTTCGTTCGCCTAAATTAGTTTTTACATGTGAGACGTTTTATATCAGCGTTTCTTTTGGATGCCGCTATACATCTCGCTTGTTTAATGGCGTAAAACACTTGTCTTTTACTTCATCTTCTTCAAAGTACATCAATAGACGCGTAATGAGGACGTTTCTTTATAAATTAATATTTTTAGTAAACAATAACTCTCAAATTATTTTGAATGTATCAAATTAGGGAATCAATTCTTTTTGCAAAAACACGATCTTAATGAGTTGCATTCTTCTACTCAAATATCCATGACTCCCAAACACACACATGTAATGCGTTGATTAATATTTACATGACGGGTATCAACGTCAGTGTATCAACGTGGTAACAGTCAGCCCGACTACCACGATCCCACATACCGCTGTTCCAGTTTCACATATCAAGTTGATATTTAGCATCTGTTCCCGTTTATCGTCCACGATCTGCTTATAGAGATATTGATTTCTCGTCACTGTTTCTGCATAGTAGTTATCAACATCAGACATGCATTTGATATAGTTGAAACTGCTTGATCAAACCACCTTTATGATTTGTTTGAAAGCTTCAGGGTGTTCAGTGAGTATGCTTGAGCACTGACATGGAGGATACACCGAGGTTTTTGTACAACATTGTGTTGTCAGTGGTAACGCTTCTTATTAAAGGTGAGTGCATCCGTTATTGAGTAGGAACTCGTCTTATGTCTACTGCAGTAGAATCCGCTTTATACGACGTTGATTAATATGTTACGTTAACGTTCAGCGTCAGGAGACATTGTTGTATCATACCACCATATGTCTGACCTCAGATAGACACTGTCTCATCTCTGAGGGGGGAAGGCTAAACTTACGATTTACATGCGCACTGCTTGTGATTTGCATACCAACCCTTCATACTCTGGCGAAAACTAGGGTTGGGAGCGTTTGTTTCTCAATCACAACCACAAAGAACTTTTCAACGCACGTCACATGTGTGTAATGTACTAACCATTGCTTTCTATATCTTACTTACATGATTAACATACATTGTTGTTTATAACAACTATGTAAACAAACCCCGAACAATCGGAACAAGTGATCGAAAGAAAACAGATGTTTGGAAAAGAAATAATTGCGATCGGGGTATATGCGAAACAAAAAATAACTATTTTTTGTCTAACCTGTATGTAAACGTATTTTATTGGACTTCTTTTCTAATCAAGACATGTAACTGCTGGCAATTCATAGTCATGTAGTCGCACTTTCAGTTTGATCTACATGAGGTCATGTGTACACTTCTTCCCTGTCAGACACTGCAGCAGTCATCTGCTACAACCGGGCAGGTTCTGTCACATGTCCTGTCAAGTGCTGTCCGGGCTCTGCCGCAGTGTCTTCCATACTGGGCGTGTGCTGCAGCAGTACCGGCGGAAACATGCTCCACACAGCGGACAACATAGCAGGGGCAGTCAGGTAATTTAGCTCCCTTGTGAGTCAGACCTGGGAAACCAATTGTTTGCTTCACAGATACGACGGCGACACATATATAAACGTGACAAAAATATTTCCATAATCATATGAAATGTCTACTTAAAACAGTCCATTGTACGATTCCGACTATATCATCATCCTAATTATTTATTACAAGGTATCCCTGGTATACATACACAGAACCACAAAAGAAATGAATATAATTCAGGTTATTGCATGTCAATAAACATTTCTAAAAAACGTGAGACATCATCTAGCCAATAAGCAGGATACTGCGACAGTTCCCAGACACTCATCATGACACTTATCTGGGATAGGGACGCACTTGATGAGGGCGTCATTGTAGCTCAGTGTTAGTTGTGTACTAGTCATGAAAGAGTCCTCATGTTAACATCCTGTATGAAGTCCTGAGTGAATTTAGCAGTAATTGGACGGATATTGTCTTGCTGAAATACGTGTGGAGAAAAGTGTTTCAGACCAACTGCATCCCATATCATGATACTAGAACGACCCCACTAACCTCTCCCTATAACACAAGCATTGACATACGGCAGTGGAATGCAGTATCTGCACATCCTGAGAAACTAGCCTTCCTTAGTGTTGCTGATCACGCCATTTGCCATGTGGATTTACCTACTGTTTCTACATTTGCGAGCTGAAGGGGCGGCAACTCGGGTAGCAATGAATGCTACTGGCTGCAAGACTTTGCCTAGCTATATCATCACTCTCTGGTCTGCCATGGCTGCCGAAGGGCCGCAATTTGGAACCTGTTTGTCAAGAAGAGGTCACTCGTGGACTTTCCCTCTGTTGCCGCTTAATGGGCTGTTTGTGGTATTGAAACGTTCATTCAGACGTGGATGTCTCAGTCAATGTAAACTAACTGTGACTCTGTCTGGACACTGATTACCTGATGTCGGGGGTTTCTCTGTAGGATTGGCATGACTGTTTTACTCATATACCAAATGGCAGGATTTAGAAGTGGATTAATTTTTATACCACATGCATCTCGTGCAAGTCCTCCTCGTGACGCATGCCGAAATTCAACCCCATGATTCTAGTCGTGCGCTCGATAGACCTCTAACCAACAAGCTGGCCCCTAACATTTGCCTTTTTCGTCATGCTATATTCGTTGGCGCCAAATTATAATTAAACAGTTACGTTAGATTTAACATTTATGAAATTTGCGTTGTAGGAACATTTAACTGTTTGAGTGCTTGAAACGTATGATATGTCATTGTGGCTTACAGGTACATATTTTGGTGATAAACATGTTACCTGTAATTACACCTTTGTGTCTTTGCAAAACACAAACATGAGCAAATGAAACTGTGCTGGCGATATTCACGTCACCATGTCGTGAATGTTCTCATTTTGAGAAAGTTGATAATCAGTAAGAAAAGTATACATCTCAGTGAAATATCTCCAGGTTCGAATCCCTAAATGTACATGTTCTTTAATCAGATTGCTGCATTTCATTTGCTTTATAGTGTTAAAAACATACGTCAAATTGAAACAAGGAATAGCGATATAGATACTTTTCAAATCTTAATAACATTTTTTTTTTATTTACAGCAAAGGATTAAGCACCATTTTCATTATCATCATCGTCGTAGCTGTCATCATCGTTTTGGGCATCGTTGGGTGCATCGTATGTTGCGTTTGTGGTTGTAGCAAGCGAACCAATGGTGCAATTGTCGCCCCTGCCGGCAATCAGCCTCAAGTGACGGTTGTGTCTGCGTCCGGTAAGGAGGATAGATAAATGTGTTCATTTTCAGTTCATTTTCTATAGTTTCAGTGTGTGAATAACACTAAAAGTTTTTAAAAACAAACTGACATAATGTTCTCTACACTTGCTCAGTATTATGTCTACATGCAAATATGTCATTATAACCAGTCTTGGTCAGTCAATTTATCCATCGTGACATACCTAAAATAAGATTTGTTTGCTTAATTGTTTGTTTCTTTTTTTAACGCCTCCATCATTAGTATAGCAGCCACATGACGGCTACTTGTAAATAATCGATTCTGGATCGGAAAATATAGTGTTTGATACTGTGAACAAAGTTCCACTCGGCTCATACAATTGACTCTTTCAACACATAGTTATTATGATTAAAGGTATTGTCGCTCTTGTTATGATTATTTTATATGTCATCAGAAGACACGGACATGAGTTGTGAAACATACATGGTCGTCTCCAAAATCAACCCCTAACCACTACATGATACAAACAGAAGGATAATGTGGACAATAGTATCTACTACTACAATATTAATTAGTTGACCTGCTATTAATGTCATGGTGTCTAACGCGCGTACATTGTAAACAGACTTGATGCTTTCCATTGACAGAACCTGCACATCAAGGAAACCCAAGGCTGGATCAAGGCCCACCCTAACCGAGGCTTCCTGGTTGCCTAGGATTGTGATTAACGTTCACAGCCAGATTCTACACCTTCTGACTGTGTGGTCTGAAGCTTTGTGCCATCTCGGTGTGAACAAACTCCAGAATGCCTGTATCTCACTGAAATCATTCCCTGTGTAAAACTATTTGCTTGATCGATTTGTTTAATGGTTGTCTTAATTTGGATTGTTCATACGCTGTATGTATACACGTATCGGTGTAGTGTTGGAACACATTATTTTGGTGGTTTAAACATGGAGACGGGTGGCGGTTTGATGTATCCACCAACCAACCCCTCCGCTACCTCCACCCCCTCACGATACACACGTCAGTAAATGTTTCACCGCAATATGTATGCACTTCCACTTTGTCATACCATCCAAATATTACTGTTCACATCTTCGATACAAAATAGTGTGACTCGAAATATAATTAGTTAGATGTCGATGTAAAATCTCGGGCAAATGAAAGTACGCACCCATGTTTATTGCATTGGTGACTAAAAACCAACAAAGCAAGAAATGTTTATTCGATGGTGACGTATTGGATACGGGTTGCATAGTTCTGTTTTGGACCTGAAATTTGCCGTGTTTCGGCGACTGTTTTCAGACATGTATCATGATTTTTGATAATGTTTGTAATGTTATGGTCAAATCCAATTTACAAGCGTATACGTTCTTTTTTGTCCGTTAGTTTATAAAAACATATGGTGAAATGGCTTCTATTTTCAACTCAAGTTCATCTGGACTGTGGTTGCACCTCGTGTCTTCATGGAATATATGTACCCCTTATGTGACACGGTTTGAAATTTAATATATTACGGCTACACTATCTCATTTCCAAACTACATCTGATTTAGATCATGATTAGTTTTCCAATAAGGTTCCACGGAATTTGAAACAAATGATGGTATGATTACGGTCCGGTAGTCGTATAGGGTCCCGCAGAAATATACCCTGGAAGACATCGTCATACATGTTTATTAGCTGACCACTGCATGCCCTGACTGGGTGCCGCGAGCCGGAATTAATTTTAAATGTAAAGTATCGCATGCTGCGGGATTAGATTTGTTTGAAAATGGCGACTGCAGTGTCGATATAAAAGATTTGATTAAAACATATGATTCTCCAACACGTACAGCCATGATTGATGTGTCCGCGGTGTGACATACCAGAAGTCTGGGAAGGAACCGGTTCGCTCACTGTTGAATGGTGTGTAATGATAAAGTCGGAATCGTATCGGACTCCAGAGATTTCTTAGGATTCTGGAAATGGTTTTGTCGCTTTCCTTTCAGTGCCGTATGCACGCAGTGGCCAGATAGTGTACATGTCTTTGATTTGATTATAACCAAGGTACATGTCTGTTGTAGCCAATCTGAGGACGGACTCTTCAGCTAGTTCTTTTGAGTTTCCAGTTGTCAGTTAAATGTCATGCTTCTGAATGGGTTGACTGGAATACTTTTAATAAAGGAATTCACTTTTTATGTCAAATATGGCAGATATTTAGCCATGTTCTGTCATATCACTGCAGATTGCATTACAACCGATCGTGTCCTGGTTTATTTATTATTGAATTTTAAACATTCTTTGATACAAACTTTATGAATGACACCATGTACATACGTGCCTTTTTTGCTTTTATCGCGAGTTTCTGAACAATTATACTAATGATGATGATGATGATGATGATGATGGAGTGCATGATCAGTGGCAAGCCGTACAACCTCAGACACAGAATGTAGTTCTTACAATGCCATTATAAGTGCTTGCAAGTATCATTTAGTATTTTCTGCGTCCAAAGGAATATTGGATATAAATAAATGCTAAATGATGACATCTTTCTTGTCGTAGTTTTGATTCCCGGTGGCTTTTTGTTCCGAAACCGACAATTTCGAATCCCTATTTCGAACCTTCTGTGTCCGCCTTGTATTCATGAAATTTTGTTTTTGCAAACGTGTTATAATCAAACGAGTCATATAGTTAATAGTGAACCACAGGCGGGAAACATGGGGCTCGGTGGTCAAGGGTACCACAATTCGCGACCCTTTACTCTGGTAAGATCCACTGAACGTTGGTTCGTATCCCATATATTTCCCAACTGTTATCCTTTTTTGGCAGCGCCAAACCTGTGCTCGGGTTAACAAAAGCGGTCTAGGCCCTGCACCACTTCGGTCTGTCCTCCAACAACTAGCCCACACGCCGTGATACAACTGAAATACTACTCTAAGAGGTGTTGAAACGAAACGGACACAATCATCATCACCATGCAGTCATGTACATGATGAGATGCGCATATAGCATTAACTGTTATTTGCTAAAAACTTTTTGTATCAAAGTGAAAAAATCAAAGGTGTTTTAAAAAGAAGCAGTTCTACGTATATGTTTCTGTATCTGCTTCCCCCGCCAGATTTGTGCATTGGTTACACATTTCCAAAATATACACAAAGTTGAAAGTCGCTGTTACTTTAAATAACGTGAGCACGCTATCGATGCAATGTCCTCTGACACGCTGTATTGGGCGTTTGTATGTATATTTCATAGACTTTAAGTTAATATATTTTGTTGGGAGATTGACGAAATATGCACGTACCAAGTGGATGTACATGCTGAGCATACACTACGTTTTAATCATACATGAGCACGGACAGAGAGTCGTTACTCTACTCGCAGAGTATCTGTACTAAAAAAACACATGAAACGCATAGGTGATTTAGATATACATACAGGAAAGACATGAGAACATAAACGATATGTGAAGCATGAATGTGAAGTTATTTTGTACCAAAATAATGTCATTGTTGGAATCAAACAAATACAAAGACACCACAATACAAACAAAACAGAAGTACATGAGAACGACGGGGTCCATGTACGTGCATATTCTGCACGTAACAGATCTTATCTCAAAGATGAACCATTATCCTTTATACAATCAAGGAAGGACTTTCTTTACATTCACAGTAAGCATTTGAGACAATTTGAATTAATTATTATACCATGTGGATTCTCCAAAATTTCAAAGTATGTACTTGACTTTTTACAATCTAAAAAAGAACAAAATTCTGTTCTGTCAACATATTTGATTTTTCAACTTTGTACACGCCACTATCCCACATGACAAAAAGGAAAACTTGCTGGTCTGTTTCTTTATACATAGTAATCAGACAACTCATACAACTCTTTCTAAAAGCAATTGACTTGCCTTTGCAAATGTCTGTGACGTGTGCCACCGGTGGGGCAGTGTACGCTCATATTTTCGCGAACACCTGGGATGATAACATATATAAGAGAATAGGTGATTCATAAACACATGCTCATGATATAGTCAGAATCGCACAATCGACTCTGTTTTTGGCGGGGATTTTAAGTGAATATGGAAAGGGTTTTGTCGCTTCTGACCATGTATGTCACCAGATATGAACTCGATAGAACGAGCGGAATCGCTGTGGACGACAGCGTCATCAAGTACAGGCAGTACATCAGTAGACAGGACACTGCAGCAGGTTGTATATCTACATCAGGCCGAGTGTGCTGATATTCCTCAACGTGAGATCCCTACCCTCATTTCGTCCACCGACAGGGGGTAACAGGCAGTACTCGTGATCAGTAGACAGGACACTGCAGCAGGTTGTACATCCACATCAGTGGGCTAATATTCCTCAATGTGAGATCCCTACCCTCATTTCGTCCACCGACAGGCAGTACAGGCAGTACTCGTGATCAGTAGACAGGACACTGCAACAGGTTGTATATCCATATCAGTGGGCTAATATTCCTCAACGTGAGATCCCTACCCTCATTTCGTCAACCGACAGGCAGTACAGGCAGTACTCGTGATCAGTAGACAGGACACTGCAACAGGTTGTATATCCATATCAGGCCGAGTGGGCTAACATTTCTCAACGTGAGTTCCCCCTGCAGGGGGTAACAGGCAGTACACGTGTGCAGTACACCTTTGTCGGTTTCTGTAAAATGTGTCCATTTTGGACACGTGTCCACAGTACCGTTGTCTTGAATGTAATATGTAGTCATACATCATGTATTCAGATGTGCAGTAAATTAAAGGGTGATGAGTAATTACTAAATAAAACATGATTTCGAGGACTTCTTTAGCACTTTATATATACATTTTGGCATATTAATTATGTCCAATAAACCACCGGGTATCTTATGAGTCCTTATTATGCCCATTTTTGCGCTTCTGAACTTAGAATTGTACGATATTGAATATAAACGACAACAACCATGTCCATCATCACAATATAACATGTTGGACGAAGGCGATGGCACTGCGTTGATTTGCTTTGCAAAGATCGCTTCTTGAAGGCTGATGTACTGTTGGATAGTGATCATTATTGCATGAGTGAATGTAGGGGTATTGTGATATGCTGTACACATATGCCCCATAATCAAATGTCCCTGTATCCAGGACGCGATTTGTGTGCCCACGTGGAATCTACAATAGTTTTTCGATCACATCTGCCGCTCTGAAACGAAACAAACTGCCTGAAGAAAGTAAATCACTATCACAAAAGAACGTTCTAATTCTCAGCTGCAAAATGATTTTCAGATAATATTATTATGAAAGATTGTTTGACTGAGAATTTGCTGCCAGTACATCGTTACTAGTGTATAACGTTGCTGAGTGCCGTGTATGCCAGGGAGGTCCCACGTGGGACTGTTCGTGCTACATACAGACCAGCTCAAGAGAAAGGGTAAATCTGACCGATGTGAAGACATGGACTAAGAGATGGGAGGGTCGTGGTGTTAGAGATATTTAAAACAATTCGCCATTTCTCCAAAAGGAACCGAAGGCAATTCATTAAAAAAATATTTGATTTAAATCCCAAACCCTTCAATGCCCCTTCTTCCACCTCGACTCACATTCGCACACACATTCGCAAAGTCACACACGTACACGCACACACACATTCGCACACTCACACTCACATTCGCACACACACTAACACACACAGAGAAACGTACACACATTCGCACACGCTCGCACACATTGCGCAAACTGGTCAGTGTCTATGATCTGCTCAGTAGTACACAGCTTTAACGTCAAAAAGACAAAAAGTCATCCTAAACATTGATGTTTATGTAACCAATGCGACAGCGTCGTGGAAGTTAGGGCAGGCTTATACACCAATAACGTTGATCATGTATAATTGTACAGCGATTCTTGACAGTAAGTGGTACGACCTTCACCTAATGGATGTCATATCCCATTACCCAATACATCAACTATGTGTGTAATAACTGAAAGGTCCAAGTATGTTAGAGTGTTCGGACGTGCATAGCGTATTCAATGCAAGTAAATTCAAAATTCAACTTCTTAACGTGTCAAACGTGAGCCACCTTCCCACTTTAACACGATGAATAATGTAAACATGTCTTCAATAATCAATTAAGCTCTTTTGCACTCAAAGCTGTGCAAACTCGAGGTCTTAGAACTCGAGTTGAAGAGTCTTTAGGTTGACGGACGGGTATGCTCACACGATCTGTAACTGCAGTAATGGCTGGTCGTGTAGCCCTATTGCTCTACGTTTTGACGTTTGTCGTAGGACTGAACTGTCAACCAATCCAGGATTTCCAGGATTATCAAACTCATATGTTAGCAAATGATGGTTGTGGTCCAAATGAGTATGCCATGTTTTGTCTGAAATCTGGTTACGATCTCACAGTTGCTCATCCATTGAACGAGTATGTTTCCAACATCCGAATGAAGGAGATGTATGATTTTCTAACTCGTTCAAAGTGTTACAAGCACATTGAATCTTTCGTGTGTGCTGCTTTGTTTCCAAAATGCAGCGAAAACCCATTTCAGCTTACGTACCCTTGCAAGGGTTTGTGCGAAGATGTACAAGAAAGATGTCATCCAGTTCTTCAAAGATACGGCATTGAGTGGCCCGAGGAGTTAAATTGCACTCGGTTTCGTGAAAGGAATTGTCTTAACCCGGAAACATCTCTCGAAGAAGGTACAGACAGAGTAGTTGATGCTCCGGTAGGAAGACACACCCATAGGCCCGATCGACAATCTAAGAGGAAGCCGAGACGTGATAACAAGAAACGTGGCCACCGGGACCGGAAGCCCCCAAACAGTCATGCCCAGCGGGTAGACAACTCTGAGAGTGAAGTGACCCAGAGTGAAGTTCAACCAACCCAGGCGACTAAGACCCTCAAGATGAAGACGTTCTTGAAGTTGCTGAAGAAGACGCTAGACAAAGTTATAGCCAATCTAAAGACGCTCTCAGATGGAATTTGATGTGGGCGCAGTTACACGATAATGGCACCCCATGACTGCGCGGAAACGTATAATGTGATGATACTTCGCAAGTGCATTACATTTGACGAAATATTGAAATTATATATATTTCAGTCAAGCGTGTCTGTGTGTTGAAAATTTGAGCATTTGATGGTATGTAGATTAGGGGCAAATGGTTTTATTCATTTCATTGTCTTGCTGCTATGAATATCTTAACATATGCTTGTAGATCACAGATCTCATGTTATTACATTAATCCTATGAACTATTTTGAGTTCTGTATTTCGCAATTATTTTCCAGCATGTCAAACATTTTCAAGAAATTATAAATATGAAAGATGTAAGAAAATGAAATCCATGATAAATTCATTGATGAATCAATGTATACTTCATATTGATTGTATAAAGGATGTTAATTTTTTGTACAGGCACGCACAAAAATGCGATTTGTGTTATTTTTTCAACGATTTCAAGCCATGTACGTCTTTTATCTCAGTCGTTTTTCACTTACAATCCGTAAACACTTGGTGTCATCAGTAGACAGGACATGCTACCCATTCTGTAAACACTTAGTGTCATCTGTAGACAGGACATGCTACCCATTCTGTAAACACTTAGTGTCATCAGTAGACAGGACATGCTACCCATTCCGTAAACACTCGTCATCTGTAGACAGGACATGCTACCCATTCCGTAAACACTTGGTGTCATCATTAGATAGGACATGCTACCCATTCCGTAAACACTTAGTGTCATCAGTAGAAAGGACATGCTACCCATTCTGTAAACACTTGGTGTCAGCAGTGGACAGGACATGCTACCCATTCCGTAAACACTTGGTGTCATCAGTGGACAGGACATGCTACCCATTCCGTAAACACTTAGTGTCATCTGTAGTCAGAACATGCTACTCATTCTGTAAACACTCGGTGTCATCTGTAGACAGGACATGCTACCCATTCTGTAAACACTTAGTGTCATCAGTAGACAGGACATGCTACCCATTCCGTAAACACTTAGTGTCATCAGTAGATAGGACAGGCTACCCATTCCGTAAACACTTAGTGTCATCAGTAGAGAGGACATGCTACCCATTCTGTAAACACTCGGTGTCATCAGTGGACAGGACAGGCTTGTCTGTCCGGTTCCCATTCCGTAAACACTTAGTGTTATCAGTAGACAGGCGTGCTTCCCATTCTGTAAACACTTAGTGTCATCAGTAGACAGGACATGCTACCCATTCCATCAGTAGAAAGGACATGCTACTCATTCCGTAAACACTTAGTGTCATCAGTAGACAGGACATGCTACTCATTCCGTAAACACTTAGTGTCATTAGTAGACAGGACATGCTACTCATTCCGTTAACACTCGGTGTCATCAGTAAACAGGACATGCTACTCATTCCGTAAACACTTAGTGTTATCAGTAGACAGGGCATGCTACCCATTTTGTAAACACTCGGTGTTGCTGTAGACAGGACATGCTACCCATTCCGTAAACACTCGATGTCATCTGTAGACAGGACATTCTACCCATTCCGTGAACACTTGGTGTCATCAGTAGATAGGACAGGCTACCCATTCCGTAAACACTCGTTGTCATCAGTAAACAGGACATGCTACTCATTCCGTAAACAATAAGTGTTATCAGTAGACAGGGCATGCTAGCCAGTTCGATTGAGCTGAGACTAACTTGTATGTACTGTGTCACGTGACTTTCATTGGCTCGTCAGCAAGGTGCAAGGGATTTATTCTCCCGCTCAGAGAGATATATCCGTCGCCCCCATCCCCACCAGGCGGGTTAAACATTATTTTATCAAGATCACGTGAACCATTCAGACCTCAACCTTCTGCCTGGAGGTATGATAAATATGTTTAATGACTATGACGTGAAACTCACTCACACCTTGCTCCATGTTGTCAATAGTCATCGCGATGAGTGATGCGACTGTAAAATACGTCACCTAACCTCAGTGGACGTGTCCGTCACACCACCAAGTCCAGTTCACAACTTGCATCTGATTCATGAACGTCGAGATATATCTTAGGGACTTGGTGATATTGACACATTCTTCTAACTTAAAGGTTCACGACGTTACGTGGTTGTTCTACTTTATGATCACTTCACTGTGTAGACTTATAACTAGAATGTAGTTTCGTTGCTATGGACCATAACTCAACACATAGCAATGCCTAGGTATCTGTTTCATAGGCAAGGTGCGATGTGTATTGTATAAGAAGTTGGTTATACTATGAGAAGCCCTTTATGAAAATTCCAAATGTGTTTTTGCGAGCATACTGACAAATTGTATTTTATTAATCTCTACACTTGCATGTTTTGGACTTATACGTAAACAACACATACACGGAATAGTTAAATGTGGCGGTTTTCAGGACACGTGTTGTATGCTCCATCACATGATTGTCTGGTTTGTTCACCTGCCGCGGTCGCGTGGCAAGAGTACGTGCAGTGTCAGGCAAAAAACACATACAGCCGTAAGTAAATTGTGTGAATGGGGAGTACTACCGGTAGATCAGGACATGGATACCCTTTTCGATAACACCTGGTTTCAATAACACCTGGTTTGATTCATTCATGGCATTTTCACCGCCATGTGCACCGCCATGTGCCTTTTGCGTCCAGTGAAATGTGTGTCAGAGGATGATCGAGACTGGTTGTTCTCGAAAAGGGTATGTATGACCTGCACTACTGGTAGCACCTGCCACTCACACAATTTGCACAGAAAAGTACATGTTTGTTTATTGCCTCACGCAGTACTCCTGCCATACGACGGTGACCCTGTAAAACAATCAAGTCCCGACCAGACAATCAAGTGATGGACAAGGCAATCCAGTGAGACGATGGCGCATCCACTGAAGGCACGTTATATTCTGTCAGAGAGAGATGGCAACCCATGATCAACTATATAGTAGTAAACACCCATCTTCCCGAGGCAAGAGAGTTAACTGACTTTAAAGTTATGTCCTTTCTATGCCTCTCCTATGGACCATTCAGGTTCCACCTCTCGTATTACATGCATTTGTTTCAAACAAAATCGCGGCCCCCAGACAAGACGAACTGATCGACAATCAAGATCTATTTTGTGATAAAACGGGTCTTACATCGCGAAGCGCATCAAATCATGTGAGCACCTTGATTAAAAACTTGAAAAGATTTGGAAAATATATGTTGACAACGAGTTGGCGGTGCACATGCTTTGCAAATCCTGTAATCGACCGATCTCTGCATGACAGTTTACGAACCGAATTTCGATTTCGGCGATTTTGATTGGACTATGCATAGACTCGTTCGTCAAGCCAAAATCTGACTCCAAAATACCAGCCTTGTTCGGCAAGGGTGGAAACTGGACTTTTATAGTCAGTTAACTCTCTTGCCTCGGGAAGATGGTAAACACCATGCATTGTTTCCTTTTAATCGAAACTGAACCCTGTTATCGTGTACCCTGACAGCAGGTAAAGGTGAACACATGGACTGACGTTTAGTTGCAGGTGGTATGGAGGCTCCAGATTAAACGTTTTTCCCGACATGTCAGGCTGCTGATGAGGTTACCTTTGCGTGGTGAATCATTGTAGATTTATCTGTGATATATATGGATATTATTATTTCAGAAATGATTATATTATACTGTCTGTGTGTCTAAATGGTGTCTAAATTGTTGTACTCTTGTGATTCAGCCTTCCCTGTTGGGTCGGGGTAAGCTGTAACGTGACTGGAGACTTGTTTCAGGAATGAGATGGTGGTTTTCTGGGTCCTCCTCCAGGAACACACAGACAGGCAATGCCATTGATTTTCCCTTACGGTTGATGGGGATGCAGTCATTTTCTGGCGTTTTCTATGCATATATTTAGGAATAGCCTACAGATCACCATAAATGAGTATTCGCTATACAAATTGTGTGTAGAATTGATATTGCGTATATACAAAGACACTCGCCACAGCCTTTGGGACTCAGTCTCAAAGTGTATAAGCAAAGGAATATCATAGGTCCTCAGCTACCTATGCTTGGCGTAAGAGGCGACTTAATAGATCGGCCGATCAGGCTCGGTGGCCTGGTTGATTTCCTGTTATCGTACCCCGAAGGCGTGGATCATTGGCCATAATAGCAATCGCTGGTTTGTCTGGTGTAGATTTTATTATTTACAGGCCGCCGTCATGTAGCTGGAATGTGAAGTGTGGCGTGAAACAACAAACTAACAAATAAATACTGCATAAAACCCCATCTAACCCCACCCAATTTAAACCCTTCCCTACGTTATCCCACTACGAAAAGAGTGATTGCTCTGTCAGCCTCTGTAAAATCAGATCGCCTCCTTTGTCTAGAGGATAGAGCGTAAGCAGGGAGAGCGGAAGGTCCGGGGTTGATCCCCGGCTGGGACGTATCAAAAGACTTTACAAGATGGTATTTTTAGTTACCCTGCTTAGCGCCTGGGATAAAACAAGGACCATTCGGCTCGGAGCCTTTATATTGTGTGTCTCTCTCTCTCTCTCTCTCACTCTCACTCTCACTCTCACACTCACTCACACACACACACACACACACACACACACACACACACACACACGTCCCATTTCACGTCCCCTCACATATGGATGTGAATGACAGGCCGCAAAAACTCCTTTCTTGGCAGCAACAACGTCCACAACAGTAAGGAGTCGACTCCGTTGAGGGAAGACGGGAAATTTACGGTCACCTTTAGGCGTTCTCGTTTAACACTCACGCATTTTACAGCTAGTTTGTCTTTTAAGTCCAATGGAATTTGTTCCGGTGGTTAATCTAGAATTAAAAACATGGCTATTAAATACACTATACTTATTTATTCTGTAGCATAATTTATTTGTGTCCCCCCTATGACCATAGCCTGTTCGAGGATTTCTTCAATGTCTTCGCCCATGACTCCATCACATGTGACTCACTAATTTGTAAAAATTCAGTGAAAAATATGAAATCACTATTGAAAACATAATTTAACAATAATATCCTATAACGTACCGCGGGAACCATGCTGCGTCGGAGTGTTACATTTGTAGAGGCTGAAATAAAAGAGCCTCTTTCTGAAGTTCGCTGCTTGAAGAGCATGGCGCCAGAGTAGTAATTGAAGTCGATTCAGTGATTTGACCATTACGCGTTGAAAATACCAGACCAAAGAATGCGTTTGTGTTACATTTAGCATACTTCATTGGTGATTAGGGATATTTATGTTCAAATTACTAAGTAATACATGAGGAAAATATAAAGAACTTCGTCATACTAAACGCGCAATCAATTTGGCGTGATTAAGGGAAACGAGGCAAAAACGTACTACACATATGCAATTAACACCTGAAAGAAAGTACACTTACTCATGTCAGTTAATCTAAAAATGGTGATATTTACATGAAGCTTAACACATGTATCAAATGGCAACAGTATTTTGGTGGTTTCTTCAACAATTAATCCCTTGTTTCTCGACAAAACACCTCCCGAAGAATGTGTTTTTTAAAAATGTCTCATGTGGACAATAGTCGTTGTCTTATTTCGCTGTACTTTATTCCCAGTATATTCACAATATTGACCAAAACTATTGCAGTTCTTCAATGCATCAAAAGTCGCCACGCTTGGTTTGTCCTAACCCTTGGTTATAACAATGAGTGTACATGTATTATAGGTCTTGCCTTGCTTGGCGTCTTACTAATAGTTTTTCCACAAGCAATACAACTATCAAAACCTTCACAGATATGAAAAATACGCTTACCTATTTAAAACCTCAACACATTTGGTAAGCACGTAGCTCCTTGTTGTTGAACGTTCACCGGTTGGGTGAACTCCTTGTTTCAACACAGTATTACTTACTCTTATTTGGCGAACACCCCAACCAAGCAATGAAAGTGACCATGAGGTTACAGTTTCTCCGACCCTCAACTCCTGTTGTTGTTTCTCACTGGCTATAACCGTTGTAGATTCTGAACTGTGTTACTAGCTGATATTTTGAAACTCCAACATATTTTGATCCTGACATTAATTATTAAATTCACGCAAACACTCGTCTGTTACAACTGTTACCATGTATATGTACATACCCCGTGAATTGGTCTTCAGCAACCCATGTTTTTTTGTGAGAGGCGGGTAGTCTAGTGGTTAAAGCTTTCGTTCGTCACGCCGACGACCCGGGTTCAATTCCCGACATGGGTACATTGTGTGAAGCCCATGTCTGGTGTCCCCCGCCGTGATATTGCTGGAATATTGCTAAAATCGGCTTTAAACCATACTCACTCACTGTAAGAGACGACTAAGGGGGTAGGGTAGTCAGGCTCGCTGACTTGGTTGGTGCATGTCATCATGTCCCCATTGCCTAAATCGATGCTCATGATGTCAATTACTGGATTGTCAAGACTCGATTATTTACATACCGCTGTCACACAGCTGGTATATTGCTGAGTGCAGCGTTAAACAACAAACAAACAAGCAAACAAAACAATATAAATAGATTAAGCCAGAGACGAAGAGTTAGAAGGAATACATATGTTTGTAGCAACAAAACCTTTATTACACAAATCAACATGGTATGGGTAATTTATGGATGCGCACGTACGTGTATTTGAAGCATTCTAAAAATATAAATTTTGCAATAAATTATACTCTCTCTAGAACGTCAGTGCATATCAGATATCACAATGGTTCAATGATACAATGAGGACATGGGGAACAGAGAAGCGGGATACAAAATGTGATACTGGTGCAAAACGATGACTTTGTATTCAAAACAACGTTAACACATAGTTTATTTTATATGAAAAGACACATTTATGTACATGTTACCGTTCATCTAAAATTACGGTCAATTGACACTCATAGCAATACTTTGTGGTATGTTTCAACTATATAGAATTATTCAACATACGAACTCGTAGGAACGTCCGTATTATTTCTGATGTCAGTGATTGATATGTGTACGACTTTACCCCGAACAATGTCCACTCATGAACGTCTAAAAGTCTTCTTGTCTTATATCACGTTCACGGCCCGGAATATTTATGAATAAATAATATTGTAGATATATTCATATTGTAATATTTATCTTAAACCAAATTATTTAAATTTTGAATACAAATACGAATACAATATTTTTATTATTCATGGCATATGTTCCTCAGGAAAGGACTGATCTAAGACACATTCGTTTACTATACCTAATACTATACAAGATAAAGAAGATGCCGTCAAACAAATTAAACAATATATCACATACATGTATACCAAACAATGTATGTGAACCCATCGTATCCCGTCAGACAATATAAAAAACCATATAAAATATTTCGAATTAAAGACTGCCACCAAAAACGGTGTCATATATGAGAACTATGTACATGATACTAAACTATGATTAAACAATTGAGACAATCTACCATAATGGTTTAACATTAAAAATTTCAAACAAAGCATGCCACAATGTGTGTCAACGAATTGTGCAGCTACCGTTATTGGCTTTCTGTTCCACGTTAAACGGAATTGTTAATCGGTTTTTTATTTTGGCTTTTGAGCTTTCGAGTTGGTAATATAAATGATCATAACTGATCTTAATAAGTAAGCTGAAGGGTTTGTAAACACGTTGTTCATTTTATAAACTTTATTTGTGAAATCATTTTTAGAAAGATAGCTTGAGTTTTTTTAAAATAATGATGTCCATTCATAATTGTTTCTTTTAAATCTTTCAATTCCCTTTTCAAACCTTCACGCCGTGATGTATAAACTGCGAAAAATGTACAATGTACACGGAATGAAATACACAAAGGATAGTACCTTAAATGAAACTCCAACAATTATTGCACTCCATTTTGTAGCCTGCTCCAGTGTCTGTGAGACCATTTTGGCAAAGTCATCGTCTTCGATGTTTTGATCACTCTTGCATGCCAACCTGTCCACGCCGTACGCTTGTCTTTTGAGTTTCCATCTTCCCAACAATGCTGGAACCTGTCACCAGCTGCCTCTTCCTTACTTTCATCCATATGCATACATCTCTACAACCGCCATTGTCAGCGCAAACACACACCCAACCTCAACGGCACAGAAAGAGTGAAGTTGTGATTCTTCTTGAGCAAAAGATGTCTGTCCGTTCTTCTATCAATACTTGTATTGGTCTTGTAACACATGCATACGTGTTTCTCGGGTGTTTCTCAGGTGCTACTCTGCGAGAGAAATAACCATTGGCTACAAGATTATATATACTTTCCAAAAGTATCATATCATGTCTAGAATGTGTTGGTCTTTTGCCTTATTCCTCATTCCGTGAAGAATTCCAAAATGCTTTCTTCGTCACCGATACGTCATTCAACCCAGTAGATACATGTGTGAATGTATACTTCCGAATGTGTTTTTTTCAGTCCGTATCTTGTTTGACATTGGAATCGTGTCACACAAACTAACCTGCATCTCGACAAGACTTTCTTCATCAGTGCAATGCCGGTCTACATTTCGACAAAGATGTAGATTAACCAGTACCCCATGTTGAACAGGATGAAGGCTGCTGGGAATGCATAACGTGCCAACCGATCCACATACCGCGCTCCCATCTTGCCGTACATCCGAGTCACATCAGTCTTCTCCGTTGCATCAATTCCGGTCTGTCGGGAAAATGCATTGAATGTGTGATTCTAGTTGACACAAAAAGTATTTGTTGGAGAGAGAGAGAGAGAGAGAGAGAGAGAGAGAGAGAGAGAGAGAGAGAGAGAGAATCAGCCTGGCTTAATTGCTAACGTTGTAATGTTACATCTAATATCAACCATTTGGACATCTGTCTGCTGGATATCTAAACTTCATGTTGTAAGTAGTCTATAATACCCATGTGTTCATGAGAACAAAGTCTATTTTTCACACTTATAAATATGATTTTACTTTAAGATTTTAAATTATGTTGCTGTGTGCCATTTAAGGTTCCTCACCATAAACTTGGTTTCATAAATTTGAATATGGCAACTGAAATATAGCCAGACATTCCCGGCAATATTATCGCACTCACCCCATTTAACGCGATACTCTCGTCTGTCTTCGCTGTAGAGAATCCAAAGCACTTCCAAGGTATTCGTCTTCTTGCTAACACGTTGATGTAGGCGAATTCTAATAGGGAAGCGAACACAAAGAAGAGGCAAGTCGACATCCAAACGTCAATGGCCTTCACATACGATACACGGGGCAAGGACGCACGTGCACCGGAACTCTGCGTTGTCATGGTGAGCACAGTCAGGACGCCCAATGAAATTCGCGCAGGGATAGCCTCGATATCGAGCCAGAAGGACACCCAGGAGAGGATGACAATGAGGACACTCGGGACGTACACTTGGATGATGTAAAAGCCGACGTCTCGTTGAAGGATGAAATCTGCTCGAACGCAGGAAAAGCTGCCGGCTGAAAATATATCACCGTTATATTGCCGTGTAGTTTACACAAACTGCGACAGCTGGTAACGCATTTACTGTGATATTATCCTCTGGTCGATTTGGAGGATTAACGCAAAACTATTAAAATAGTACACCTGTTTTTAATTCATGTTACACAAACAAAATCATTTTTAAACTGCATGTATGTCAGCTGGTGCATTTGAAACACAAAAGGAAATGTGAAAACACATCAAACAAAGCGCGATGGATATTCCCGTCAAGGTACTGGTCACGTACTTAAATAATGCTTTTGTGTATGTGGTTAAAACATGTATTAGGTACTAGGTTTTATTGATGTCTGAGTGCAGGTTTGTGATTTCATCGCATCTACATTGTATTGTATCATGGTATGTAACACACAAAGCATTGGTTTCGCTGATTCAAATCTTCGGGTTGCGATGACACTCGGTATGAATTTCATTTGGCTTCGTCCCTGGGAATTAGTTCATGTGCCGCTAAATCCCCTCGGGGACGAAGCATGGGGAACCTGTTATCTAGCTATTCGGCCCAAGGATCCCCCAGAGGGACAATTATGGGATACCGGGGTTTTGGCCGCATCCTAAACGGGAGACAAATATTGTGTACTGGGGGCCTGTAATGGGATACTGGGGACCTGTAATGGGGTACTAGGGACCTGTAATTGGGTACTGGGGACATGTAATGGGGTACCCGGGACCTGTAATGGGGTACTCGGGACCTGTAATGGGTACTCGGGACCTGTAATGGGTACTCAGGACCTTTAATTGGGTACTGGGGACATGTAATGAGGTACCCGGGACCTGTAATGGGGTACTCGGGACCTGTAATGGGGTACTGGGGACCTGTATTGGGTACTCGGGACCTGTAATGGGTAATGGGGACCTGTAATGGGGTACTCGGGACCTGTAATGGGTACTCGGGACCTGTAATGGGTACTGGGACCCTGTAATGGGGTACTCGGGACCTGCAATGAGAACTCGGGACCTGTAATGGGTACTCGGGACCTGTAATGGGATACTCGGGACCTGTAATGGGGTACTGGGGATCTTTAATGAGTATTGGGGACCTGTAATGGGGTACTCAGGACCTGTAATGGGTACTCAGGACCTGTAATGGGTACTGGGGACCTGTAATGGGGTACTCGGGACCTGTAATGGGGTACTGGGGACCTGTAATGGGTACTGGGGACCTTTAATTGGTACTGGGGACCTGTAATGGGGTACTCGGGACCTGTAATGGGGTACTCGGGACCTGTAATGGGTACTCGGGACCTGTAATGGGTATTTGGGACCTGTAATGATGTAATGGGGGTCCTGCAATGGGTACTCAGGACCTGTAATGGGTACTGGGGACATGATGTCATGGGGACCTGTAATGGGTACTGGGGACCTGTAATGGGGTACTGGGAACCTGTAATGGGTACTCAGGACCTGTAATGGGTACTGGGGACATGATGTCATGGGGACCTGTAATGGGTACTGGGGACCTGTAATGGGGTACTGGGGATCTTAAATGGGTACTGGGACCTGTAATGGGGTACTGGGAACCTGTAATGGGTACTCAGGACCTGTAATGGGGTACTCGGGACCTGTAATCGGTACTCGGGACCTGTAATGGGGTACTCGGGACCTGTAATGGGGTACTCGGGACCTGTAATGGGGTACTGGGGACCTGTAATGGGTACTCAGGACCTGTAATTGGGTACTGGGGACATGATGTCATGGGGACCTGTAATGGGTACTGGGGACCTGTAATGGGGTACTGGGGATCTTAAATGGGTACTGGGACCTGTAATGGGTACTCAGGACCTGTAATGGGTACTGGGGACCTGTAATGGGTACTGGGGACCTGTAATGGGGTACTGGGATCTTAAATGGGTACTGGGACCTGTAATGGGGTACTGGGAACCTGTAATGGGTACTGGGGACCTGTAATGGGTACTGGGGACCTGTAATGGGTACTCAGGACCTGTAATTGGGTATTTGGGACCTGTAATGATGTAATGGGGGTCCTGCAATGGGTTCTCAGGACCTGTAATGGGTACTGGGGACATGATGTCATGGGGACCTGTAATGGGTACTGGGGACCTGTAATGGGGTACTGGGGATCTTAAATGGGTACAGGGACCTGTAATGGGGTACTCGGGACCTGAAATGGGTACTCAGGACCTGTAATGGGTACTCAGGACCTGTAATTGGGTATTTGGGACCTGTAATGATGTAATGGGGGTCCTGCAATGGGTACTCAGGACCTGTAAAGGGTACTGGGAACCTGTAATTGGTAGTTGGGACCCGTAATGGGGTACTCGGGACTTGTAATGGGGTATTTGGGACCTGAAATGGGTACTCAGGACCTGTTATGGGTACTCAGGACCTGTAATTGGGTATTTGGGACCTGTAATGATGTAATGGGGGTCCTGCAATGGGTTCTCAGGACCTGTAATGGGTACTGGGGACATGATGTCATGGGGACCTGTAATGGGTACTGGGGACCTGTATTGGGGTACTGGGGATCTTAAATGGGTACAGGGACCTGTAATGGGGTACTCGGGACCTGAAATGGGTACTCAGGACCTGTAATGGGTACTCAGGACCTGTAATTGGGTATTTGGGACCTGTAATGATGTAATGGGGGTCCTGCAATGGGTACTCAGGACCTGTAATGGGTACTGGGAACCTGTAATTGGTAGTTGGGACCCGTAATGGGGTACTCGGGACTTGTAATGGGGTATTTGGGACCTGTAATGATGTAATGGGGGTCCTGCAATGGGTACTTGGGACCTGTAATGGGTATTTGGGACCTGTAATGGGGTACTGGAGACCTGTAATGGGGTATTTGGGACCTTTAATGATGTAATGGGGGTCCTGCAATGGGTACTCGGGACCTGTAATGGGTATTTGGGACCTGTAATGGGGTACTGGGAACCAGTAATGGGGTATTTTGGACCTGTAATGATGTAATGGGGGTCCTGCAATGGGTACTCGGGACCTGTAATGGGTACTCGGGACCTGTAATGGGTACTCGGGACCTCTAATGGAGTACTGGGGTCCTGCAATGGGTACTCGGGGCCTGTAATGGGTACTCGGGACCTGTAATGGAGTACTGGGGACCTGTAATGGGGTACTCGGGACCTGCAATGGGTACTCGGGACCTGTAATGGGTACTCGGGACCTGTAATGGAGTACTCAGGACCTGTAATTGGTACTCAGGACCTGTAATGGGGTATTTGGGACCTGTAATGGGGTATTTGGGACCTGTAATGATGTAATGGGGGTCCTGCAATGGGTACTCGGGACCTGTAATGGGTATTTGGGACCTGTAATGATGTAATGGGGGTCCTGCAATGGGTACTGGGGACCTGTTATGGGTATTTGGGACCTGTAATGATGTAATGGGGGTCCTGCAATGGGTACTCGGGACCTGTAATGATGTAATGGGGGTCCTGCAATGGGTACTGGGGACCTGTAATGGGTATTTGGGACCTGTAATGATGTAATGGGGGTCCTGCAATGGGTACTCGGGACCTGTAATGGGTATTTAGGACCTGTAATGGGGTACTGGGGACCTGTAATGGGGTACTCGGGACCTGTAATGATGTAATGGGGGTCCTTCAATGGGTACTCGGGACCTGTAATGGGTACTCAGGACCTGTAATGGGTACTGGGGACCTGTATTGTGTCGGACACATCATGGACCATCATGGACCTGAACATCACGGGTGGTGTCGGTGTGAGTACCTACTTTCTTTATACGTCTTGGTGCAGTTTCCCAGGATATGTTCTTGTAGAGTGTATTGTGGCAACTCCAGATTGTCATTGAAGTCAACTGGTTTGTGCTGAACCCAGTCGTAAACTATATTCTCCATGGTATAGCCATCTGCAAAGAACAATGCTTCTATATCACCGCATCCAAGCAACCAAAACAGGGATGATCATGGGGCTGACCATGCATTGACTCTACAGAACTCAGTTGTTAACGTGACAAACCAACAGGACAGATTACCTATCGCCATTACACGAAGACGACGCGTAGCATTTCAAGACCCTCAGTCAAAGATCAAATTTGATTCGAACCAATGATTAACTTTAACCCATACTGCATTATATTTACAGTGCAATACAGTGACAATATGATATTTCCGATTCGAATTTACTGACATATATCAGACTGAGTGCTAGCTTTACCATGATAGACCACAAGGAACTCAAGCATAGATAAAGTGTGATCCTTATCGTGCACTTTTCAACCCCTTTTTGAAACTTCATAGTCCGACAACTGTACTCCATCAACATCCAACTCAGGGTTTTTAATTTAAATGTGCCCCAAAGTTAAGGAAATGATATGTTATACGAGAAATAAGTAATCTGGCTGCACATCAACAGCTACTGAAAGCGGCTATTTGCCTGACTCATCATCCCTAAATAACTATCACGTCAAGTGACAGTTTTGGCATGGCGTCCAGGATAGCGTGTCAATATGACTTTCAATAGTTGATTTGGAATAGGTACATTTCCTTCCCAGGAATCACGGGCGTGTCATCATGGATGGGACTAATCTAAATCCTATCCACAGTTAATAATTTCCATCACTCGCACTTTCATGGCACTTGTCCAGCTTCAGAAGAGAACAGAGAGGCGGAACATTGATTCAGGCTGAGATTACATAGTGTATAATGTGGGGAGTGAAATCTAATAACTACAAATATCAATAATTGTAGGAATAAATAAATTCATTAGTTCAGAATGGCTTTCAGAAGGGTTCCTTACAAAATACCTAATGGATAACCAATCATATTCTGTTATGTGATGCCAATGGACGTGTCGAAAGGAAAAAATAAATGACACTATATATATGTTAATGTTGGGCAAAGTTTCAAGCTTAACGTGGATTTCAGTAGGGATGAGGTTTTGGAAGAAACCCTTTTGAAAAGTTAACGAATGTGACAACTATATTTGTTTTCTTTAAAGCATTTGTATGAAAAAGGATGAATTTGTTCATATGTTTTAATCCGTAATCAGTGTTTGTTAGGTTTTCAGATACATCTCGTTCACTCGAAACCTCTGAAATTGACCAGGGCCAGGATTATCCTGTGTAGTTATTGAAAAGAAAAATGCTCAAGTTCTCTGTCAATTGAACCCGAAAATTCAAACTTGGTAATTCATGTGGGCCAAAACGTATCCTTATCAGATCTCTTCATAACCAAGACTAACAAAGTACCCAAAGACTAACAAAGAAAACACGCCCCGAGCCCTCTACCCTGCGTTATAAGGACAATAGAGTAATAACGAGTTCGGTTTGAGATAACGAGAACACATGTATACATATCTGTACGTACAGCTGGCGATGAGGATAGGACACTTCTGTACATCCAAGGGGTATTTTTCCAGTCGCATATGACAGCTCAGTGTTATTGACAATCTGCAAGTGAAGTGAAAGGGTTATGGGAGAGCAAATGTTATTCACAACAAAATAATAAATAAAAAGCGACAAACACCTTTCCACAATCTTAAGAAGTCTCACGATTCTGAATATGTCCTAAGCACGTGTTTATGAATCACTATCAAATAACGATGATACCAGGTGTTCGTAAAAGGAATAATGTACTTAGAAACACTAAAGTGTTTGTCGCACTGATTGTTTGGTTTTAGATATTTAACACAACACTCACCAATATTTCAGCAATGTGGCTGTGGCATGTAAAAAAAAGAGTTCAACGCCGATGGCCTACGACGAAATGTCACGTGACAATTAGCTTCATATAATTGCCTTCTATGTCAAGCTTAGGTTGAGAGAGTCTCACTCTAAGTCGGGCTTGCCAATTTGTAAATAATATACTGAAACTAATAAACAGTTATATGAACGTGTATGATAATATACAATGTTATGGCGCCATATTTGTGCGTCATCCGGCAATTCATATTCTTTTGATAAGCGGAAAAATATAACACATATGTGACTTATCTTCATTTCATTTGTGTTGAAATAATACCTCATCACTGTCACTGTACATACTGGGATTCGTGCAATGCATATCTTCAAATCCTGTTTGTGACGGTTATATGGAATGGAATAATTTTGATATCTGTCCTAGGTTTTACGTTTCAACGTACGGATATATATTTATACATGTACTTCGTCACTTATATAGCTTTTCGCGAATGCGTGGTATCTTCATTATTTGATAGTGATTCATAAACAGATGCTTATGTTATAGTTGGAACTGTAAATTGAATATGTTTCTTATGATTATGGAAATGGTTTTGTCGCTTTCATTTATATGAAACGTTTCTGCTCTTACGAGTTCTGTGTCTTAGGTCATTGAAGGAAAATATTCCTCTGCTGTATAAATAGCTATAATTCCTCATCTCAATGGTATTAATGGGTTTTACTTTCAACTAACAATACGGATTTGTTGAGTATATACGGTAATGACATAGCTTGAGGTGCTTCTGTCTATAATTTACAGTGACTTCCTTAGTAATACTATGCTACTCACTCTACTCTCTTTAAGGCACGGAAATAACCATTATTACATAATTTTCATATCGGTATCTTTGGGTCAGGTTTTCTGGCAGATTTTTAAAATTCATATTACATCGATTTTACTTCTACGTTAAGATAAATATCATGAGAATATAATCTGCTCATTGTCAGTGACGATCAGTTTCGATATAAATGGATTGAAATTTAATCCTTTGCAAAATAGAGCAATTTTGTTTTAAATTGTAAATGTTACTTGATAGCTATTTGCGCTTTGCGGTAATTACGGAATAAAGAAACGGAAAATTGCCATCTACAATGTATCATTACAGTTTGTTATAATCTTTCAGAATATAAAGCGACACTTTGGGAATTAGTCCGAGCTTATGTTGAGCTAGTAAAGGTATAATCACCTATATATTTGTGATATGGTATCAGCTTGTGATACAATGAAATATGAGAGTGTACTATTCTATTCCCATTAACGTCAAATAACAAATCCGTTCCTATACTTATACAATGGTAGAATTTTAGGAATGTATCCAATTTGTATTCAGATAGTTATCGTGTTGGGAGCACAGTGGCCTATATTGTTGAACCTTGACACATTACTAGTCAATGAAATGGACATACGTACAGCACGGTCAGCTGTGGATAGTGGGAGCCGTTCCGTCTAACAGTTTCTCGGACTGGACAGATAGTTAATGAATAGTGATACTTTGTGTCCTTGTCTTACCCGTCCGGTGCAGAAGGTTAGGGGGTGAATTGGGATGTACCCACCATTAGCTGCACCGGTAGTTCAGCAACGTGAAGACAGTGCTTAAGAAACTGAACCAGGCGTAGAATCGAAACTGGATCTTTGACATGACACGACAACTCTTTAAACAGTTATTATATTCACGTTAAGGAAGTTTTATGTTTGTGCCGAAACGTGTCGAATCATTCAGTCGTCCATCATATGTGATGTCATAGGGTAAAAATCAATAAATGTCAAAATGTAACATGTAATTTAACTGTACATTAGTCAGGCTTCAATGGGTCGGGAGAAACAGGAACTGGTGGGATGTTTGCTCATGATGATATTATATAAGACATATTTTACATTCGCATCCGACAAATGTTTTAAACAAAGCACTAGAACAATTAATATAGCTGTTCACTGTAAGATTGTCTCAGTGGTCTAGAGGATAGAGCGTCTTACCGGGGAGCCGAAGGTCGGGAGTTCGATCCCCGACCGCGTCATACCAAAAGACTTCAAAAGATGGTGTTGTTATCCTTCCTTATCGGCATTAAGGGGCTAAAACAAGGACTGGCCTTCCCGAAGTCAGTATACAGTGTCTAAGCAGGATGTTCATGTTAAACTGCGGCATGGTATCTCAGTGGGCGAGCACTATAGAGCCGGCATTATCTGTACTCACACACGCGCACACGCGCACACGCGCGCACGCACACACACGCATGCACGCACACACACACACACACACACACACACACACACACACACAATTTTTCAAGGTCTTGGTAATGGTTACATGTACGTCCGCTGGTGGCAGCGCGGTTACCGGGAGTGTGACGATGATGTCTTGCGCTGGGATGGGTCTTTAACTCTGCCGCCATAGTGAGACAAAAAGATCTAGAGGAAGTAATGGGACTGACCTTCGGGAATATCGTTTTTCGTGGTCTGACATGCACCTTTCACAGAAGATTTGATACATACGAACTCAGAAATGAAGAAATTAGAGCTCTTTTACCAAAAACGTGAAACAATCCTTTTGGCAAAGCATGCAAAAGAATTATTAGTCACGAGTTCCTGTAATTTAGACACATTCCTCCCCTGACGTTCCCCGGGGACCAATGCAGCGATTGTTTCTATTCAGCTGGTTTGACAGCACAATGAGAGATCGTATATTACAATCTGCTAACCACCTCCCAGGGGTATTTATGAAAATAAAAAGAAGCGTATTTGCGATCGTAGTCTTCCAGATTTTTGCACATATGTCAAATTCAAACAACACCCCAGTGCATTCACACAATACCAAGTTGCATAAGACCTTGTCTGTGTTGTACATCTAAAATAGGTCTGATGAATGTCATGACACGTACAGAATGTATGTGCGTTGTATAAATTCTGTAGGGCCGGTAAGTTGTACTGTTTTTCTCACTCTTGTGAATATTGACAACTCTAAGCCGCCTTCATTGTGTATGTAGATAGTAAATGTTTCTTTTGATCGTCATTGTGTTCCATGAGCAGCTAAGCAATAATTTTAGCAGTCGGTCAGACAATGCTGTTCCTTAACCGCAACTGATTGCGGTAACGTTATGTTGTTCTATCTACCCTGGTGAACAAAGAGCTGTTCATCCTTATCGACACAGTTCCCTCTTGCACAGTACGGGTCCAAACCTCACCGTGGCATCGATGGTTACAGGATAGGTGTGAGTGAGTTTCTTTTAAACAGTACAGGGGCTGCACGTTTTAAGCTTCCTCGTCATTTAGCCCATGGGCTTAAAAACACAAATATTGATTCATCTCCCTCACCGGATGTTCTTCAACGTTTGTTGCAGCATGCTTCTAGATGGCCAGATTTGACAAAAACACTCTTAAAGGTTTCCACGGTTACACGCTACATGGGACCCCCGACCTTTGGATAGTCCCCGTGGTCGAGTGGTACGGCGTCCGCCCAGAGAGCGGGAGGTGTGGGGTTCGATCCCCGGCCGCGTCAACCCAAAAGACTTTAAAAATTGGTACTTGTTGTTACCCTGCCAGGCTCTCGACATTAAAGGGCTTAACAAGCACTGGTCAGCTGGGAGTCAGTATACTGTGGGGTATCCATGTTAAACTGCGGCATGGTATCTCAGCGGCTTAGCACACTAATATCGGCATTAGTACAAGTAGCCACACACACACACACACACACACACACACACACACACACACACACACACACACACACACACACATGTGCATGCATAAAACTTCCTGAATGTGAATATAATGACTCCTTGACTCATGCTTTTCAAGTTGATAATGAAAATAATGTAGTATGTCAGAGAGTTGCTCTCTCGTTCCATGTGTAAGTATTGTTTCATTACACTTATGACATTCTTCTTCCTTTTAGGACTTTGTCCTCTTTCATTTTTTAGCTAAACTGTTACTCAATTTAAATAAGTCCGTAGTTAAGACAAAGCTAAAACACGTGCAGTGCCGCTATGTCAGTTATATCATGGCGTTTTAGCTTTATTTGGGAAGAAAGAGCACGGGTTTGTTACTGCCCAACATAGAGAAATAGTCAGGCGAATCTCGGATTCGAACAAAAGTCAAAGGTTCCTGAAACATGACGAATTGCGACTGCATACATGATACAGCCCTGCATATATTGGGCCTGACAAATAAGGAGGATCGCCTAGAACATAACTGTGCTGTGTTCACCTACCTCATACTGTAATAGATCGTGCCATTCCGGTAAAGGTGCATCAGCCTGTTTGGCACAGTGACGTCATGGAAGGCTCCTTTCTTCTCGTTCCTGAAGAACGTATCCGGCACCCACACTCTCTGCATGATCTTTGTATCCAGCTCTAACCAATCCGTCTTCGAGAAGTTGATATACTGCAATCTCGGGTCCACCCATCTTTGCCTCAGATATACGTTGAGAGAATAATCCTGGAAAGTATTTGTGAAAAATGAATGCTTCAAATGAAAGGGGCCACTAAATATTCTCCCCAGACGTCCCCCCTTCCTGATCAAAGAGAGTGTTAATGTGATGGAGTGAATGGCACTGATGAATGAACCAGTTGCAGTTGCTTTACAGTACATCTGTGCACCTTACAAAACGTACCACCCATTCTATAGTTTCAAAAACAACGAAATTATATGTATGTTTCGGAAATAATTACATCATTATGGCATTGATCTTATTTTACAAGATATCACAGGTACTTGTTGGCATGGGTATTATATAGAGAATCTCATCCGCGTGTCCTTTGATGTAAAATATATCAACAGACGTCGATTAACTAGCTACTTCGAGTGTTTATATATCTGATATCAGAAGAGACAAGGGTGGGATTATATTTATCATCCAAAATCATTATTACATGTTTTTAGTTTGTAAACATTAACAACCAGTGTCTTGGCTGTAAAAGGTACATCTAACCAACTTCGGTGGAAGAGAGTATTAGTGATGTCATTTGACAGAGACGTCATGTAACGATGACGTCACAATGGTATTGAAAGCATTGTGCTGCAACTTCATTACAGAGATATGTCCTATCACCCAAACGATGTCTCCTGTGGAAGCCTATTTGGGAGGATACAGCGTCAGAACACAGCATTTATCTCCAGATGGTCGCAAGAACTACGTCATAACATATGATTGCAAGAATCCGAGGAAGTAATGGACTGTTATCTCGTTGTAACGGAACAGTCTCAAAACATGTTACCAGATATGTCACTGTTTCGGTAGTTCAATAGGTCACTGTGTACACGAAAACATTTGTGTCTGTCAGAGTTAATGTTTGGTACGGTTAGTGTAGACTAGCCTATAGCCTATGATATCTTATATTACACAATACCCTTCTTGACTTTCAAAATATAAAAAAATATTTTTCCCTATGCTGATTTAATGCTGTGGAATTGGGCTAGTTAGAGCTAGCTAGACTTGCTTTTGAAAACGTTTCTAGATTGTTTTATTTTTTATAAAATGAATATATTCCACAGTCATGGTGCAGGACTACGGTTTGTGTGTATGGTTTGTTGATGAGGAAATGTATTGCACATTTGTATTTGCATAACTTTTCCCGTATGTTTATATGCCTTGGCATTAAGCATAGCGATCCTACCATGGACTGCTCATTGACGGAGTCGATACTCAGCACATACACCTGGACGCCCACTGTTGTCGGATGATCTGGAGAGATATGGAACAGGAGAAATGGTCAGCTTCAGGTGTTGCTCTATATTGTTTAATTGAAACCGCAATCAAATGTATGATAAAATAATCGGGACCAGACACACCAGTGAAAGACGGTATGAGCAACGATCCACGCCATCGTGAAACGTCGACACGTAATCAACCAAGTCACGGACTCACCGAGCCCGATCACCCGATCACCCGATCACCCGATCAATTAAGTCACGTCTTTCCACCAGCAAAAGTTGAAGAGGTATATTCTTACCGATCACAGGGGGAGTTCAACGTAAGCGGCTACCTGTCATTGGCATGTGCAGTTATGCCTCAAACGACATTCGGGGTCACGGGTGGCCCAGTCGTCTAGGGCGCCGCGATTCGCTGTGCAGAGTTGCGTCCCTTGCGCACGCCAGAAACCTATGATTGTGGGTTCGAATCCCGGTTCGCCCCGATTATGTTTTTAGGTTTGTCAGCACCATACCCGTGCTCGTGGGTTTCACCAAAGTGGTAAACGTCTTAGACCTGCATCACTTCGGGCTTTCCTCCCACATTAAGCTGACACGCCGTGTTATAACTGGAATATTGTTAAAAGCTCCAACTCAACTGTACAAGGTTCATATTACAGTGGCTGTCGATGGTTCCACTGTGCATGACCGACCAGTCCTTTGTGTAAATCAATGTTGCCTTTTTGTTTCAGTAAACGGCATAATTACTTCACATATATTAGTGAGGTATTCAATTACTAACATAATCAAATGGTGAAGCGTTCGTTCGTGACGTACGTACAGCTGCATCATCTTCAGCGCTTGCCATATTGCTAAAAGTGGCTTTAAACCCCACTCATCCACAAAAATAATCAATAATTTCTGAATTATCTAAGATATTTCACTTATCTCTTGCTCATCACAATATGTCATTCCACCACAGTGAGTTGTACAATATCACATGGACTGCCATGTACTCGTTTAGGTACTTCAATGACTTCACACGTAACAAGTGACATTCTAAAATTTACAGCCACTGCAACTCTCGAGTACGTATACCTAGTGGTTAGAACTTTTATTAACGGGGGCCAATATGACACACCATTATGAGATACCGATAAAAAAAAACATAGAGTGAATTGGCCTGTTAATCATGAGGATACACTCGTCGTTCTTTCGTTCATAACCTTTTCATAATGTTTGTGTACTCAGTATGGGAGAATGTCTCATCCTTTTACCTTGTCACAGAACCAGCAGCAGATGCCACCAACAGCATCCGTGATGAAGACTGATTAGCATCCTAACCTAGCAGTGGGGTAGCCCAGTGGTACATGCGATTGTACATGTTCCCTTCCGAAGACCCTGGTTCGATTCCATGCAATGTTTGATCGTGACTCCCATGTCGCTAGTGTGAATATTGCTGAAAGCGGCGTGAACCTAAACCCATTCACTCCCTCTACCACCGTCGTTCCAACCATCATATTGTATATTAGGGCAACATTTAATCAATTTGATCCCTGCACAACAAGCTTGAAATGAATCCTTAAAGGATTGTGAAATAATTCGTATCGGTGATGAGTGCTATCTTAACCTACCTTCTTCATAATCAGGAGATATCCGAGCGTTGTAGGTTGAGTTGATCAGCAACATATCAAGGATATCTTGTCTGAAACAAAAACAACACAAAAGTTCACCTCCACCCGTAGCTTCCTACTAGTTTTAATTAGTTCTACTCCCTGCGGTGTCACGAATGTTACAGAAATGGAATATTTGTTATTGGAGATGTTCCATGTGATTACTTTGCTGAGTAATTTGACAACCTGACACACATGTTACTAAAACATACAGATCAATAGTGTTAACATGATAGCGCCTTCGCCTCCTGGAGCCATAAACATCAGTTTCAAAGTCTGCGGTAGAAAATATAATATTTGATATTTTCACAAATAATATTTGGATGGAATGCTATATAGCAAAGGCATCTTTCCATACTTGGGTGAATTTAACGTGCTTGAATTGCATTGTCGTTAGCTCTGTGATAACAACCAATACATGATTGTTCAGATAATGGTCTCATTTGGGAATTACTGTAAACATTGCTAATATGTGAAACTGCAGGCCGCTCTTAAGGTTTTGACATTTATTCGTTTACCATCAGCGTTAATTCACATTAACGTCACACGACACGTCATTTTAACTATGTTGTTCTAAGTTTTCTGCTCGTGCGGATGAACGTTTGCACGAAACAAGTTAAAGTTAGAATACATTGATTTCATAACATAAATATTGACGAGAAATCTCTTTCCAAAGTCAAAAGAAATCTATGCTAAAAACCATAGAGTCCATCGTACGAGACCGACTATATAAGTACGTGAGTGAGTGTGGTTTTACGCCGCTATTAGCAATATTCCAGTAATATCACGGTGGGGGACGCCGGACAGTGGGCTTCACACGTTGTACCCATGTTGGGAATCAAACCCGGGTCTTCGACGTGGCGACATTACAGCCGAAGGGCATCTCGGAACACAGGGGTAGTCTCAAAAATGATTCTGTAATTACTCTCAACTGAAATAATATTTGACTAACAGTTGCGTGATCTAAACCATTTCTTTACCAATATGAAGCTTTATTTCCGGTCTCAACTTTGTCAGTGCACCCCCTGCGACCTGCCATAATCATAAACCTTCACTACCAAGGTTATCAAATTGTATGTGAATTTCATCATGTACCGTATTGTAATGATATATTGAGCTCGTTCTGTTTATTTTATTATGTGCATTTGAAATTAGCTGACTAGCAATACCAAGAACATCCCTAACATTGCTTTGGGAATAGTTTACAGTTTATAATTGTATATTCCGTTTAATAACTACTACAGAAAGATACGCTTCTGATTTCGACTTTTCATTTGACATAATTTTACTACAGAAATGACAGATTTCGCGTGCGAATGTAGGGGTGTTCAGTTTACAGTGCAGACCCCCTTTTAACAACAAGTTTGTTAAACAACTTTTTCTATATCCATCATGACAATGTCTGAAATTATGGAGACGAATTGGTATGGACAAATAAATAACTTTCATGCAATTTAAGACGAATTGTTGCTTTGTGGTTTATATCTATTTGTCATTTCATCGGTATGATTTTGAAACAAAAGAAGTCTTCAGAGAAAATCCACTTAAATGTTCCATGATGTACATACAGGAATATGTCAGTTGGCACACACACAGTTCATATTTTAAATGAATCCCTCCAGTCCCACATTAGCATCACCAGAAACTCTAGCCTATAAATGCGAATAGAGAATATAAAAAAAAACTCTGGCAAAATTGATATCTCTTTATGTAAATGAACACTTTCTAGACCTTCAATCTGCATTTACTTTTTGCAGGCATGCATTTTAACAAGGCATTACCGTTATGATAACTGGATGAGAAAGGCTATAAAAGCCTTTTCACATAGAAATACTGAGATGACGATTATGTTGGCTGTGATATCAAATATATCTTCAAAGACCAACTTGAAAGAGCATTTCAATGATAAAATGTAGCTGTTATTGTAGAGGTGAAATGGAAATCTGTATCAAGAGAGAGGGGTTTTAACCGCCAAGAGTAAACACATTCAATCTAACCTAACAGACGAGATGTTACAATACACATGAACTATATTTGAAAGTAAGCTGTCACTATTTTCAATCCTAAGCACAAGCTTGACATTCTGTGGTTGTGAGGGGTGAGTTAAAGCATGTGGATTTTTTTTAAATACGACGTTTGCACAAAGTTGTTTGATCAGGGTTACAACATTCAATGCATCAGTAAAGCTTTCTAAACGTTTTATGCTAGACATGTGGAGTCATCAGTGACATAAATGATGTCTGAATCAATGCACATATTTTGACCATATGATCCCGAGGTTTTTTTCAGGTGAGCAGGTGACTTGCCTTTGCATGTATTTGTGATTGGTGCAACCTGTTAGGCAGGATACGCTCATCTGGTTGCATCACTATTTGACGGTGATTCATAAGCACGTGCTTATTGTATCGCCGGAATCGTACAATGGACTCAACACACAGTACATAACGTGATCTAATGCCTACAATTCCGTTTATCTGGAACTTCGGATAAATCGATAGATAACGAGATTGCACTGTGTATCCTGTATCCGCACAAAATATTTACACTCACCTTGACATTCCATTCAAACTTTTCTTCGAAGAAACCCATCTAGGACAAAGAAGCAATGATATTGTGGCAAGCACCACCACTGTCTTGGATGGAGCTGACATCGCTGTTGGTGACGAAGCTTCAATCGAGGCTGCAGCGGACCTGAAATGTACAGTTGTTATTATACCGCAAGTATACACTTGTCAATAAAACTACTGCGCGCTGTCAGATTTCTATATACATGTATCACGAACATATGAAACACGTGTTGCAGCGGGAGAGTCCATTGCTTGACTGTTGCCAATATTTTGTCCCTAAAAGCCCGTGTTTTTAAGTGATAATTATATTGTAATATTTGATTTATGTATGTCCATATGTCGGTTCACAGGCAATAAGTGTTTTCATGGGATTGGGTTTGTGAGTTTTAAAGGTTGTTTGTACTGAGTATTGACCGGCGGGTAGGCACAAATACTGACATGTTTACTGACACGGGTACTGACGAGTGTACTGACAGGTGTACTGACACGGGTACTGATAGGTGTACTGACAAGTTTACTGACAGGTGTACTGGCGAGTGTACTGACAGGTGTACTGACAGGTGTACTGACAGGTGTACTGACAAGTGTACTGACAGGTGTACTGACAAGTGTACTGACAGGTGTACTGACAAGTGAACTGACAAGTGTACTGACAGGTGTACTGACAAGTGTACTGACAGGTGTACTGACAAGTGAACTGACAAGTGTACTGACAAGTGTACTGACAAGTGTATTGACAAGTGTACAGACAGGTGTACTGACAAGTGTACTGACAAGTGTACTGACAAGTGTACTGACAGGTGTACTGACAAGTGTACTGACAAGTGTATTGACAGGTGTACTGACAAGTGTACTGACAAGTGTACTTACAAGTGTACTGACAAGTGTACTGACAAGTGTACTGACAGGTGTACTGACAAGTGTACTGACAAGTGTACTGACAAGTGTACTGACAGGTGTACTGACAGGTGTACTGACAAGTGTACTGACAAGTGTATTGACAGGTGTACTGACAAGTGTATTGACAAGTGTACTGACAAGTGAACTGACAAGTGTACTGACAAGTGTACTGACAAGTGTACTGACAGGTGTACTGACAAGTGTACTGACAAGTGTACTGACAGGTGTACTGACAGGTGTACTGACAAGTGAACTGACAAGTGTACTGACAAGTGTACTGACAAGTGTACTGACAAGTGTACTGACAGGTGTACAGACAGGTGTACTGACAAGTGTACTGACAAGTGTACTGACAAGTGTACAGACAGATGTACTGGTAAGTGTACTGACAAGTGTACTGACAAGTGTACTGACAGGTGTACTGACAAGTGAACTGACAAGTGTACTGACAAGTGTACTGACAGGTGTACTGACAAGTGTACTGACAGGTGTACTGACAAGTGTACTGACAGGTGTACTGACAGGTGTACTGACAAGTGAACTGACAAGTGTACTGACAAGTGTACTGACAGGTGTACTGACAAGTGTACTAACAGGTGTACTGACAGGTGTACTGACAAGTGTACTGACAGGTGTACTGACAGGTGTACTGACAAGTGAACTGACAAGTGTACTGACAAGTGTACTGACAAGTGTACTGGTAAGTGTACTGACAAGTGTACTGACACGTACTTGTTTAAACTTTCAAAAGTTTTCATTTAGTGAGAGAAATAAATATTCATCTCAGATATTTGGAGGGCCATCAAAACAAGTTACGAACAAGTTTCATTATAGCCTGGCATACGTTCAAAAGAATCTGGTTTGCTCGCGACTTGGTGACATTTCAAATGCGAATTCGGTATGATTCGTATTTACAAAATTGTATTGTAAAACGAACAGTTTCACTAAATCAAAGCCTTTACATTAACATAACAGCAATAAAAGGTAAAAGAAACATGTCCATAATTATAAGAAGTTTCTACTGAAAGGAGAGTCGATTATATAGTCGACTCCGACTATATCAAAAGCATGAGTTTATGAATCACTATGAAACAGATGGCACCAGGCACATGTAACAAACACATGCAAGGGCAAATCAATTGTTCACTGAACAAAAACAGATTTTATTACCTGTCTACCACGACTATCGTTAACTTTATCCACCGGCAATCTATACTGTTCTCATATTCGGTTCACATCTTAAATTGTCCGAAAATCGACCACCATGGTTATCGCTTAGTGTGACCTTGTGTCCTCTCGTTCAACTTGTACCTGGGATTTATTAGTTCATGAGGTACTTGTACAGTTGTGTACAGTTGCGGAAACCCAACATGCAATCCTTAATCATTGTTATTGATGTTCGTTTGAATGGTTGAATAAACGTAATCATTAGTACCATGAGCCCCAATCAACGTTACGCATCGCAGATTCATTTCTAATGTCACAGAAGAAATGATTGATTGATAACAGCAGGTGTCATGGCCCATGCAATCCATGCACGTGGATACTGAAAGAAACACTAACACCATATCACCGCCATTCAAGTACAGCACTGCATGATACACCACTGTATCCTTGGTTGATACATCCAGAGTTGATAAAATCCTTGTTTGATACATCCATAGTTGATAAAATCCTTGTTTGATACAGCATTGGCTGATGCATATAGGTTATCACGCTTGTGTGTTTGGGGATGGTAAATATCCTGCATTAGGAATAAACATTGTATTTAGCGAGCCTTGGCTAATTTACCATCCCCAAACACACACGCGTGATAACTTCTTTATCATATAATGTCATTCTTTAATTCTGTGGTTGAAAATCGCTTTCCCTTTCTTACAAACGTTACCGAAACATTGCGAGTTTTCCTGGAATGCGCGCATTAATATTTATTACGTCACAGGGTAAGTGATGTGTCAGTCGGACAGTGACAGTAGTCAATATAGTTCCAACTTAAATCTGTTTCTTATGCAGTGGCGAAGCAACATATACGCAAAACAACAATTGCGGCAATTCATCGGTCTGTCCGCTAGAGTAGCTGCCCTTTGTCAAAGGGAAGCTATTCTAACCCTAGTCCATGAGACGTCACAGCCACGTTCAGACGTTGTTGACAATAGGTCTGTCCTGTCATAACGTTACGTGCATTCGGAAGTACACACAGCGACAAAACGAAACAAGGTAACAATTCAAACATATTTCGGCCAAATCCAACTATTTTAATTTGTGGAAAAGGTTTCAAGCCGCAGAGGTGTACAAGCACAGATATGGCTACTGATCCCGCTTGTCTAGGCCTAGTGCCCTCGCAAAATTGTTTCGAAATTAATATCTCCAAAGTTGCCAAAACTTATAAAATGCCTTAGCTACGTCACAGTTAGACACTGATTTTCAGTATATTAGACTGTTCTTTTGATAACGATATCAATAATTCCTTTAGTTTATCCAGATTCCCGATGGTTAATTCTGACTCGATCGCCAAATGACAAGGGCGACGCCATGTTTGTTTATAAACACCGAAAGTAGTCCCTTCTTGACCTTTGATATTTGCATCTCTTTCCGCATATGACCCCAACGGATATCGTTTTTATCCGTTGGCTTTATCCTGTCGAGAAACCTACCCATTATATGAACAATCTTTGTATGAAACAGCATTGGTTGATACATCATTGGCTGATACAGGATTGGCTGATAAAATCCTTGGTTGATATATCATTAGTTGATACACCACTGGCCAATAAATCCTCGGTTAATACATCCTTAGTTGATAAAATCCTTGGTTTGTAAAGCCTTTAAAGCGTTTATCTTTGCATGGTACATGCTTGGTTAATACATCTTTGTATGGTTGATACAACATTGGCTGATAAAATCCTTCGTTGATACAGCATTGGTTAATAAATCATACATCATTGGTGGATACATCTTTATATCATACAGTATTGGTTGATACATCATTTGTTGATTCATCTTTGGTTGATACAGCATTAGTTGATACTGTACTTTTGTCAGCTTAATACTTAAACGGTGGTTTGCATACTTTTAAGATTGTCAAATGTTTGACAGATATATTGTTTTGGTATGTTGCATCCTTATTAAATCGAATGAATAATGCATGTTAACCGTAGCGAGACAATAAATCGATTTGTCACAAAATGAGACAAGATACTACATTCAGCAAATAAATGTCTCATGTAGAGTAACAAGGACATACATACAGCGCTTGACTCGACATACCTGTGGTATGTTCAATGCGCGTACAAACGCTATGACAATGTTTTGGTTTATGCATAACGCTTAAAGAGGTGTATTTTTAGACGGTGTTTGAACGTCGGGAGATTTGGTGAGTTCCAGCGCAAGAGAGAACCATGTTTATGCGGCTTGCAAATGACAAGAAACCAAACGTTTTCTGTTTCCATGTGGGTTTAACTAGCTGTTGTTAGCGAGCACGGAACGACCAAGCTGGACTGTAAAGTCCTCTATGAATCACTTTCTTACAGGACATGCTTTTCGTGAATACCTGGTGTCACACTGATTTTCAGATTTTTGTCGGATAATCTCTGGCGTTGAAGGTATTTGCAAAGTAAGTTATATGGACACTAACCGTTGCTTGTTTAGACCATATCATTAATGCAAAACACGTCGCGTGTGTAGCATACGTTGATTTACACGCTTTGGGATTAGTGCACAATACATCAATACGTACATGCTGTACACCAACGTAGACACATTGACAGTCGCTAGTGTATTGTACATGTTGAACACCAACGTAGACACATTGACAGTCGCTTGTGTATTGTACATGCTGTACACCAACGTAGACACATTGACAGTCGCTAGTGTATTGTACATGTTGTACACCAACGTAGACACATTGACAGTCGCTAGTGTATTGTACATGCTATACACCAACGTAGACATATTGACAGTCGCTAGTGTATTGTACATGCTATACACCAACGTAGACATATTGACAGGCGCTAGTGTATTGTACATGCTGTACACCAACGTAGACACATTGACAGTCGCTAGTGTATTGTACATGCTATACACCAACGTAGACACATTGACAGTCGCTAGTGTATTGTACATGCTATACACCAACGTAGACATATTGACAGGCGCTAGTGTATTGTACATGTTGTACACCAACGTCGACACATTGACAGACGCTAGTGTATTGTACATGGTATA